AGGAAAGTTGATGTGTGTGGGTTTCAGGAGGTAAGGTTTAAAGGTGAAGGTACGAGAGTCATAAAGGGTGAAGATAATGGAGCGAGATTTAAGTGGTTTTGGAAGGGAAACGGAAGTGGCACGAATGGCGTTGGCTTTGCGAGAGAGGATTGGGCGAAGTCGGTTGTAGCAGTGAAGAGTTTCGGACAGAGTCCTGAGAGTTGATGTGGTTGTGAGGCCGAAGTTGTGAGTTTCGTTGTGGTGTATGCTCCGCAGGTTGGACGAAGTGCGGAGGAAAAGTTCTACGACAGCGTGTATGCAGTGAGAGCAGACATTAGAGGGCGATGTGTGATGCTTGGTGATTGGAACGGTCATGTGGGAAGCGTAAGAAAAGGATACTGTGCAATGGAGGTTTTGGAGTTGGTGATATGAATGCTGAAGGCGAGGCGATATTGGAGTTAGCAGCGAGTTGTGGGATGGTGGTAGTGAATACGTGGTTTATAAAGGAAGAAAGCAAGCTTGTGACGTATGAATCTGGTGACAGTAGGACGGTGGTGGATTTTATACTGGTGAATGAAGAAGAGAGGAAAAACGTGAAGGATGCAAAAGTGATTGCAGGAGAAGATGACCAGCACAAGCTGCTGGTCATGGACTGGAGAATCAGGAAAGTGAAGAGGAGAAAGGTTAAGGGTAAAGGCAAGCAAGCTATGGAAGTTACATCGAATGAAGAAAGCGTTCCGTGACGAAATTGCGACATTGAATTTTGAGGTGAGACGGTGGAGGAACGATGGACGATGCTGGAGAAGGGTGTTTAAAGGCAGCGGAGAAGGTATGTTGTAGAAATAAAGGCGGTGTAGTAGAAGAACAGGCATGGTGATGGGATCATCGAGTCAGCGAAGTGATTGGCGCGAAGAAGTTGGCATTTAAAGGTGGAGAAAGTCGCGGACTGAAGCAGATAGGATCGATTACATCCGGTTCAAGAAAAAGGCGCGAAAGGAGGTGGCTAAAGCGATAAAGGCATCAAAAGAGCTCGTAAAATGCAGGAGAATGGACGAAAAGCGTTGTTTAGAACGGCTAGAAGGACAAGAAGGAGGAACGAAATTTTGGTGCTCGGCGTGCACGATGGGGAGTTGAAGGTGTTAAGACAGGTTAGAAGTGTGGAGGGTGTACTGTGACCGTTTGATGAACGTAGAGAATGAGTGGAATGGAGAGAAGCGGATGAAGTTTGGGGCCGTGGGAAATAGTGACTGTTGATGAGGTGGCGGCGGCTCTGCGCAAGATGAAAGGCGAGGGAGCGAGGGAAGTGATGGTGGGAAATGTTGGACAATGAACTATGCGTGAGAGAGTTGTGTAATGTAGCGAACGAGATTTGAGGGGCTCAAAGATGCCGAGTACATGGAGAAAGAGTCTAGTGGTCCCGCTGTACAAAGGAAAAGGAGCAGCGACGGTATGTGGGAATTACAGGACTATTAAGCTGATGGAGCATGCGTTGAAGATAGTAGAGAGTGTTTGAAAGAAGGTTGAGGAAGTTGTTCGGATGGGGGAAGAGCAGTATGGATTCATACCGGAGAGAGGAACGACGGATGCGTGTTTTGTGTTGAGGCAGCTGCAGGAGAAATTTTGGAGAAGGACAGAGAATTGTATATGGTGTTTGTAGATTTGGAGAAGGCGTTTGATAGAGTTCCGAAAAGGTGATCGAGTACGCGCTGCGTAAGAAAGGTGTGACAGAGAATATGGTTCGGGCAGTTATGGAGACTTATGAAGGTGTAGAGGCGGTGGTTACGGAGGAAGGTGTTAGATCTGGTGTTTTGAGGTAAAGTTGGTGTTCATCAAGGTTCAGTCTTGTCGCCGTTACTGTTTGCTTGTGTGATGGATGTACTGACAGAGGAAGTGAGAAGAAAAGAAGGATGCTGGTGTTTGTTGTATGCAGATGACATTGTCTTGGTGGCGGAGTCGAAGCAGAAAGTTATGGAATGGTACCGAGAATGGAAAACGGCAATAGAAGTCAAGGGACTGAAAGTGAATGAGGCAAAGACGAAGGGCATGAGATGCTCGAGGCAGGTGGAGGTGAAGGACAGTGATAAATGGCCATGTGGTGTGTGTGGAAAAAGAGTTGGAGTGAATTCGATAATGTGTGGGAAATGCAGTAAGTGGGTTCGTGGAAGATGTTCAGGTGTCCTTGGTGCATTGACAAGAGTAACTGATTTTGAGTGCGGGACGTGTCGAAGTGGTGGGTGAGTCGAGATTGAACGGTTTGAACTGGGTGACGTGAGTTTGGAAGGTGTATCGGAATTTAAATATCTGGGCGATGTGTTAAATGATGGTGGAGGGTGCGAGCAAGTGGTGAGGAACAGAGTTCAAGCAGTGTGGTGGAGTTTTAGAGAGTTGTCGGGAATGTTGTGCGGAAAGTCGACTTCGTCGAAGCAGAAGGGAGAATTGTATAAGGCATGTGTTAGAAGTGTTTTGGGATATGGAGCAGAGTGTTGGGCGCCGAAAGCAGAGGACCTGAGAAGATTGGCGTCGACGGAAAGGAGAATGCTTAGGATGATGTGTGGTGTAACGTTGATGGATAGGATTCGAAGTGAAGAGATTAGAAAGAGTTGGTGTTGAGTGTATCGAAATTGGGTAAGGCGCCAGCGTTTGAGGTGGTTTGGGCATGTGGAAAGGAGGGAAGAAAGTGCTGAAATTCGTAGAACGTTGCATATGAATGTTGATGGAGTCCGCAAACGAGGTAGACCGAGAAAGAGATGAATGGATGCTGTGAACAGTGATATGAAGGCGATGGGTATAACGAGAGATATGGCGAGAGATAGAGACGTTTGGCGTAGAAAAATTCATGGACCGGTCAACCCCCCTGGCGGGGATTAATACTGGCCGGTATACAAATGTTGTTTGTTGTTGTTTGTTTGTTTGCTGTAAATGCCATGTATTGTTATATTTGCAAATTGGTCAATATATCAATATCAAATAAAATATCAACTTTATTTGAAAAATATTCTAATTGATGTATTTATGAAAATGTACAGCAAATATACTTCATCACAAGCAGCAAAATAAACAAGTTGTATTAAACTGATCATACTTCAAAAGGTTTAGAAATGTTGAAAGAGTGTGTTTATCTCTTCAAACTGTGAACTAGCTGCATAGGTCTATAAACCATAGTACATATTTCATTTATTTCCAATTTTGCATTACCAGAGTACATACTCAATTTTAATCGACTTTTGATCAGAGTTTATATCTGTAAACTATAAACTATTTCTTTAAAACCAGAGAAATTATTCCATTTCATTTCAGTTTTGATCAGGGTTTATGTTTGTAAACAATTAACTTTGTGTACTGACATTATACCCATAAAAGCTCTTACTCCCTTTTCTATAAATACGATGATTTTTTCTTCAACTGGGCAGAGATGCCTTCGTTGAATGGTGTTAATGGTATAAAATTCTGCTAGGACATTTGATAAAAAGTTTCCTCGAAACTGACTGAAGTACATATATTTGAAGGTTTAAGAGAATCGTTATGCATTATGACGTCACTGGTTGTACAAAATAGCCCGTCTACCAAATTCAATATCTTAAGAATAAAAAAGAACGTTTTTTTTAAGTAGATAGGTTACTGTCATTTTAAAAATTTTTTTTGAAGGAAACTATAATTTATAAATCAAAATTTTTGCATCATAAGCATTTTAAATTTTTCAAAAAATGTCATCGGGATTCCAAGAAAAGTCTTTGAATTCGATCACTACTGCATTGTATGAACGTTCTGCCTTAAGTCCGAATTCTAACGCTTTTTTTCAGAGCAATGTCATTATCTCACACCATTACTTACAGTGACGTAATGCGGTAGCAAGTGACGTTGTCTTTCCATTTCAATTTGAGAACTTTATTAGTTTTTTTTTCTTTGAACATTTATTGTTTTTGAAATGAGTGAACGTTGAAAAAATACAGAACATGAGTAAATAAGCGGACCTGGTTACTGTCTAGGTCGTACATATAGCGGGGATAATTCGGGGTTTGAGGGGTGTTAAGGGGGTGTGCACGTTTCATATTCTTGGTTCAAGGGGTGTAGAATGGCTACCAATTTTCACACAAATGCAAATAGACCAAACACTTAAACCAAAGCAATTGAGATTAGAGTTAAAGAGAGCGCACTTTCCAAAAAAATCTCACAGTCACAATATAAAGGTAACTCATTTGAGAAAAACAGTCTGACATGCTACAACAACAAGGAGACACCAAAATCTAATACTAATTAGAGCACACCCCTCCCCTCCCCTACAAAAACCATTGTGGATACATTCCATACTACCGTGGTGAATTGACTATGATAGTTCTTTCATACATGTTTTTAAAGTTATGTTAATTCTTTTCTTTTTTTCTTAAAACTCTTAAAAATGACTTCAACAAAAACATTTGTAACGTGACAATGTTCATTTTCTACTTCATTAGTTTCAGTTGTTTGAAATATATGAATAACAAATGTAATCCTTCCCTGCCTCAGTTATTAATCTTTCCCCGCTCCCTGCAGTGTCGCATTCCATCGAACTTTCAATTGCTTGAAATCAATAACATTGCTTCGTTCTCCATCTTTCAGATATTTTTCTCAAATTCTGGAATGAACGAGGAAAAATGGCTACCTTGTTACGAGAGATTTGTCACATCCGTGTTTCATCTCTCGCAGCTCGACATCAACCTCCACAAAGGGGAATTCTATTTTCACTTGAATCTCACATCGCCCGGCGAGATCATCTTAAAGTATTATGATTCCAAAAAGATGATGTCATTGCCGCTGACCAAAAGCGAATACGATTGTACATGGGTTTCGAACTGGAATAAACGAAAGTCGAAACAAATGAAGAACAGGTTTCTTTTTTTGAACTGTATTGTGAGAGACCAAGCATGCAAAGGATTTGAACGAAGACCATGGAGGTATATAATGGCATTTGATACAAGGCACAGACGGCAAAGCAGCAGGGATTTGAATACAGAGCTGAGCCCGCGGACGAGCAGTGTAAATGCATTCGCAATGTTCAAAGATTTAATATCAAAATCATTGACTATACTTGATGTAAACGTTGAAGTCATTCATAGCCATGTAATCTGCATGCCAGGTAAGATGAGAGTTAAAGAATGTGTGTCAACCAAGATGCATTGCGTGCTTTTGTTTGTGTTTACTTTGTTACTCTTTGAGCTTATTGCAAAATGAATTCACTTTCGTCATTATACTGTCTAATTTATCTGAAATGTTTGCCTGAGAACATTGATTAAAAACTCTATTTTATATTTAGCTAACTGTTTGTCTAATTTACATGGACTACAATAACAAAATCTGCCATTTTCTTTACTCACATGACAGCCGTCACGCTTTAATTAACGCGCATTGCATCTTGGTTAACACATTCTTTAAAGTGCCTATATCAGGGTCAGGGAATAACGTCTATAGATAGTTACCTACATCGAATTTAAGAACATTTGCATTAAATTTGATAGGAAGAAAATTTTGTCTTTATGGGCTTTTGGGCCTAGACTTATGTTACACATGCACTGGATGTGACGTAATAAGGAGAACACGTGCATGAAGATACAGGAAGAACTCGAAAGCTGATCAGTGCAAACCTTAGACTGAGATTGATTCATATGTAAATTCTCTTTGATTGATTAAATTGATTGAGCTCAGATCGATTTGCACAGGCTGATGTGAACACAGCTACAGCCCAATTAGCGCACGCATTTTGGTGTTTTTATGTTGAATTAAGAAATAAAATGTTCATTATGTTTTCACAGGCTATATACAAACCGAGGAGAACTTTGAGAGAACTCCAGAGCAGATCAGTGCAAACCAAAGACCGAGTTCTTGGAGAGTCTCCTCGGTTTGCATTGCATTACCCTATGCAACCACAGTAAATAACTTTACGTACAGTTTCTTTTTTTAAATGAAAATAAATAAACTTGAAACAAATGTTTCAACTTTTCCTATAACATGTATTCATGATTGATTTGCAAATTCTCTTTAATTGATTTAATTGACTGAGCCGAGATCGGTTCGTACAGCTTAATGCAAACTCAACGATAGACCAATCAGCTCACGTGTTGTATTGTTGTTATTTCATTTCAACTCGAGTTTCCATTTTTCCTTGTAGGTACAAGGACACCAGGGGTGCACCTGTGGTATTTGTGGATGCTGGATTGTTGGAATGGAAGATTCCAGATTTCAACAGTGAAAAAATAGCACAAATATGTCTATATTTGCTTCAATTTCCCAGACAAGTAAACATCACGTACAGCGTTCGGTACACTGATCTCTGATATTTACGTATTGTTTGAATGCCTGGTAGCTGTTGTTAAAAATATGGCAATACGTAAGGTTCTTAACTAATGCTGTAGTTGTTTCAAGCTGGGACTGTATAAGTTACTTCTATTGTTTTCTGTATTTTGAAACCAGCATTGACCTGGGACCAAGCGTTGAATTCAAGCGCAAATGCTTGTTGACCACTAACAATAACTCACCCAATTGGATTTCTTGTGCAGATCTATAAACATTTTTATTTGCCACCTATTAACCTTATTCTGCTTTGAACTTCTTAAAGCACCATACTTCATAGTCTTCAGAAATCAAATTTTTATTTGTTGTTTTGCAGCATCTGTTTTATCAATATTCTGACTGACCTGTGATTTTAAACATATATTTTGAAATCCCTGAGCTACAACTCATCCACGACGTCAAGAAATATCGTTACAATCACGTGGACACCCACGCACCTATCTAAGTATATAGTTGATTGGTATGAACTTCATCCGCTGGTCGATTGGACTGCGCAAGTTTTCAGTCATTCTTCTTCAGCTTGCTTCGACAATTGCTATTTTAAACTTATTACCGTTACCTCAATAACCGTTGTCGCGCTAGACGTGCCCCCTATTCTAAACCTACATTGTCAAAATCACACTAACAAACACCAGAAAACGTCATGTAATCTTTATAAAGAACGAAAAATTTCATTAAGACTGACATACGTGAAATTTCTGCCTTAAAACAATGGTTAGTAAGCTATACGAAATTATTGTAAAATCAACGCACGTGTGTTTAAACTCTATCCCGATGACCTGGTAACATCCAATGATATCCTAATCATACCCTCTGTTATGGTAAGATATGGGTAATATCTGTCCAGTCTACATCTACATCCCTCCATTTTTCTCTCTATAACAAAGGTAATAAATCTGTAACTAGGATATTGAAAAGCTTCAGCTTTACAGAAGAGAAAGAGTGAAAAACGAGTGCCAAAGTCAAAAAGCCAAACGTCTCCCCATTACTCTGAAGAAAAGTGTACTTAGAAACCTGATCGTCAACGATAAACATCGTTTCATATTTTGCGACATTCCAAAAGTTGCCTCTTCGAATTGGAAAAGAGTGTTTATTGCTTTGAATGGTCACAGCCATTCACCGTGGAACATTAAATCAAGTGATGCTCACAACAGGACAAAAGGGCTTCTACGTTATCTGCACGAGTACAGCGCATCGGAGATTGCCGTAAGGTTGAAAACCTATTATAAGTTCATCTTTGTACGTGACCCATATGAAAGACTGGCAGCGAGGTACCGGAACAAATTTGTGGAATCTCATATTCTGTATTTCGATTATAGGAATCTTCCGTCATGCAGTCTTCCGCTTTTTGTCTGGATTGTTTTTAGACAATTAGAGGCCTCATCGTTTTTTACTAGGGGCGTAACGCAAAATATTGCTTAGCATATATGTAGAGAGGGGTTTCAACATATCTTTCATTCGGTCCATCTTCATTACAAACTCTCGTAAGCTATAAACTAGGCAGGAATATGGCTTCAGACTATGACTTTGAAATTCAAGAAAAAACTGTGGGAATTCGTGTGTGGAGAAAAAATGGAGAATCGGAGTATGTTGGAAAAAACTAGTTTTTCGATGTCATTGCTGAAACATATTGACGCAGGCAATGACAGTGGCTTTCAATGTCGCGTATATTCCTCATTGCGTGAAGAGTCCAGGTAAGTCAAGAATTTTTTGTTCTCTTTTTTTTCATATTGTCATTGTTGTTCATCATTTTCATGCAGAGCTAAAACGTGTGTGTGTGTTTAGGTTGCGTTTCTTCCGAAGCAAAGGTGCAATCTCTGGAGGTCAATCAAAATTTATGGACGATTTAAATAAATATAGTTATGTCAGGTTAACATTCCTACGATTTCTTATTGAGACATGATAACTCCAACCCGTTTAAAGCACGTAAAGGCTTTTCCATATTTTCCGAGTGATCTTCGAACTATAGCTATTGCCTGGAACGGTGCTCGCTACTTCTGGTGTGTTTTTTAAATGTCCCGTGGGTTATGAGGGCGTGTACTGTGCAAATGACGTCAACGAATGCACGAATAAGTCTCTGTGTCTATGACTGACTACAGCATAAAATACACTTCTCTATGACTGACTACAGTACAACATACACTTCTCTATGACTGACTACAGTATAACATACACTTCTTTATGACTGACTACAGTATAACATACACTTCTCCATGACTGACTACAGCATAACATACACTTCTCTCTGACAGACTACAATATAAAATACACTTCTCTAGGATTGACTACACTATAATATACACTTCTCTATGTATGACTACAGTATATGAGATTCCTATAATCAAAGTAGCCACTACACAACCATTGACAACAATATATCGTGTTCAAAAAGAAAGCGCTACACGATACACGAATAAATCAACCTTTGGTTTTCTGGGCGGTTTGAGAGTCTATTGACTCCTTGCTTTATATGTTTTATGCGGTTTGAGAGTCTATTGACTCCTTGCTTTATATGTTAAAAGAGGACAGACCCCTTGCTTTATATGTTTTATGCATAAACTTACCTAAAAACTTAATTAAGTATTTAGTTCGAAACGTCTTATTATAAGCTTTGCTCTTATAGCCTTCCTGGCGTTCCTTGTTGTCTTGCATTCGGGGAAAAAATTTTCCATTCTCTTTGTTTTAGGGAAGAAGCACTGAAACTAGGTTTGTCTGATTTTGTCGACGCACGAAACGCTGACGATAACAAAAAGACTCAGCAGATCATCGGAAAAGCTCTAGTTTTTTTCGAGGTAGGTTAAGTTTCGAGCAAGAATTTTTTGGAGATTTACTCAGCTTCATCAGGAATTTGCATTATAAAATATCGTTTTAAAAACCCGGTTTCTAATTGGTTAAATGCTCAACATAAACAATGTGTCATTGAAATTGATAAATTCATCGTTTTAAAAGACCATTTTATAAATGAAATAGAAAACACATTTACTTGTTCCTATTGAGTTACAGAAACACATAAAATGTTTTCTCAATTAAAGGTTGTATCAAGCAGAAAAAGACCTTTGCAAATTGACGTTACATTAATTTCAACGCTTAATTTTGCTGTTAGAAGTTAATATCTAATTCTCAGGAGCAGAAAATCATTTGTAAAGAATATTTAACTCCTACTCTAGCAAGAAATTTCTAAAGAATATTTAACTCCTACTCCAGCTAACATAACTCCGGCTTTTGCTTCTAAAAAGTTTACATGACCGAATATTCAAGAAATTCGAAAGTAGAGAATATTGTCCTTCTAGTGGTACTGATATTGACTGGTTTTCCAAATATTGTTACAACCAAATTTGCAACTTTTGCTTTAAAGTGCCTGTAACACGAAATTTTGCTAGTTAAATTATGTTTGCAATGAATAGAACTTTTGAAATGACATTGTACTTTCTAAAACAGTTAATGTATATCTCTTTCCCTTCGCAAGATATTGAAGTTTTTGTTATTTCTATTTTATCTAACTTGTGACGTCATATTGCATAATGAGTTCCCACAATATTTTAAATACTCTTCAGTTTCCTGACAACTTTATATTCTATACCATTAACCACGTCACAACAAAGTGAACTCTGTCCTTGTGAAGTAAAGTATGGTTAAATATACCTAATACTTCTAGTTCTCATTATGCAATTCGACGTCACAAGTTAGATAAATCGGACAAAACATAAACCTCAATATCTCAAGAAATAAAAGTGATGTGCATAAACTGTTTTAGAATGTCCATTGTTATTTCAAAAGATCTCTTCAATAAAATTACAACTTAGATTGCCAATTTTTCATGTCATGGGCACTTTAAGCAAAGAAAATGCTTTAGTTTATGTAAGACTTGTACTTCGATGAGAAACATCGCCTTGTCTCAGCATCACTTTATCACAAACAAATTGTCCTTCTTGGACTATATAATTGTCAATACATTAAAGCGACATGTTATCTGTCATAAGAAAAAAGCGTTATTTCTGTGAATATTTTTGCTTGTTTAATAACGTCGTATTTTTATGACACTTTTCTTCGTGTTAGGGAAAATAAAAATTGTTTATTAAATAACTATGTATAATTGGCAGTTATTTTAATTTTGATGAACAAAGACTTGACAAAACAACCGGTCAAATCCATACACTGCAGTTTAAAGATTCTGCACAAAAACTAATGCTATAAATTTTCTTTTACCTTAGTCTTTAGTAAAATACTAAAGTCATTTAATTCTTCAGTAATTTACCATAATAATCAAATGCTATAAGAACATCGAAGGTTTACATATTTAATTCTAAGTATGCACTGTTCAACTTAATATTAAAAAGTTTTGCTGAGTGATATTGGTCTGATTATTACAGAATATTTTGTGCTTAGACATAATTTTGCCCAAAAGGTAAAACTTCAGCAATGGCTCCAACTCGTGATTTCTTCATTGAAGGAAGATATGTCCATGAAGAACTACTTCCCATTTTGAAACACTCCACTGATGTAAGATATTTACCATTTTCATTCTCACCTCCCATGATAACAATTGTATCACCAGTTATAACTGCAAAACATTGATTTCTCTTTTCCAACATGGATGGTAAGAATGTAATCTTACCTGTATTGCAGTCATACATGATAACACTGTTCAAATATTCTCCATCATAGTCACCTCCAAGAAGAACAACTTGATCTCTCCATTGAACTGTTGCCATTGCAGTCAATGGATAAGGTAATGGAGGCATTTCCTTAAATGTAAGAGTCCTTGGATCAAACTCCAAAACACTGGACAAAACTTTATCTTTTCCATATCCTCCAAAAATAAGAACTTTATCATCAACAACAACAGCTCCATGGCCATGACGTGGTTCAGGCATATGACACAACTCTTTCAAAACAAGAGATGTTGTACCAGTAATTTTCATTTCACTGATTAAATCAGATCCTTTGCCACCAATCCATCCTCCAATGAAAAAGATTTGTTGTTTATAAACAACAGTTTGATGACCCCAACATACACAAGGAAACTCTGTGGGAAATCTTCTCCATGTCAAAGGTAGCTGTTTTATATTTAATGTCTCCATTGACTTGTAGCCACCTCCAACAACGAATAAATTATCGTTATAAATAAATGATGAAGCAGTGAAGGGTTCATAATCCATTGATGCAGTCTCAAACCATTCCTTCTCTTTCCATGAAAATATTTCAGCATTCTTTTTGAAATCAAACGAGAAACCACCAGCAATCAAAATATCTTCTTTTTCTGTGTTCATCATTCCCTCAACTGATGATGGCGATGTTTTGACATGTTCATTTTTAGTCATCTTTCCCAATAATTGAAGCATCATGACTTTCATTTCTTTCATTTCTTTAGTCACTGTAGAAAGATTCTGTTGACCATCTTTTATTTCTTTCCTTGATTCCATCATTTCTTTGGTCACTGTAGAAAGATTTTGTTGAACGTCTTTTATTTCTTTCCTTGATTCCATCATTTGCTTGGTCACTGTAGAAAGATTTTGTTGAACATCTTTTATTTCTTTCCTTGATTCCATCATTTGCTTGGTCACTGTAGAAAGATTTTGTTGAACGTCTTTTATTTCTTTCCTTGATTCCATCATTTCTTTGGTCACTGTAGAAAGATTTTGTTGAATATTTCTTATTTCTCCTTTCGATTCCATCATTTCTTTGTGTATTTTCGTAGACAGACCACATACATCAACAAGTTTTTTATCTATTTCAGCTTTGACTTGTTCCATTTTTACATTTAATTTATCAATTGACATTTTTACTTGATCCTTAGAACTTTGTTGAAACATTTCTTTTATCTCCGCAAAATCGTGAGAAGGAATCTTTCTGTATTTACATAATTCAGTTTCATGTTTAATCTTGTCTCGTTTGTTTATCTCCTTGTCACAACGTTCATTAGAACACAACACTGGAGCAAAACCACAATTTTCAACATGTCGTTCAAGATCTTCAACATTTATACATTCTTTGCAACCACGAATAGCGTAGTCGCAGCTGACTTTAAACTTAGAAATCAAGTTATTTATAACACGCGATGGAAGAAGCGCAGCTACTGTCAAATTATCTTGACATTGAGGACATCTTTGTGCATTAACTCGTAGATGTTCTTCAATACATTTACGACAAAAACTGTGTTGATTATGGCACATTCTGGCATCTTTCATGACATTAAGACAAATTGCACAGCGAAAATTTTCATCAACAGCATTCTTAAATCTCGATTCATCATAGCCACATTCATAATCATTAGGACGATAAGCCATTTCATTCGTCTTCCCGTATAATTCAGTGTTAAGATTAATTTAAGAAGGGACAAAATTATTTGTTTATCGCTACAAGTTAAAGCTAGAAGATACGTTGAAATTTGCAGTCGACGTTTGATAAACACGGAAGTTAAAAGCGAAGAATAACAACGCCTAGTTTTATATTTTAACATATTTATGTAAAACAAAACCAAGACAAAAAAGATAAAACAAAACAATGCAAGGAAGCATATCTACAAGACATGCATAAACAAAAATAAGTACGCAATTCTTGCATGTTGTAACCTTCAGTTATGTGGCCACAAAGTGAACTAGATTTATGAACATAGTTTCGATGATATATAATAAAAATAATTTTTGTCAAGATTGTGTTCAAGATTTTTAAAATGTGTTGAATGCTTAGTCAAACCACTCAGTAACTCTTACTCTTAAACACTTTCTGCATCTATCGAACGCGTTCGCTCAAACCCCACATCGTGGAAAGTGAAGAGTTCTTTAAGAGCTCTTACAAATTTGAACGATAAATGCATAGTCATTTTCACTAATAACCATTTATTTGCAATAATACATGTCTTAATTGTCTTTCAAACTGTTTCCTAACTTACATGAGATGTCATTTATTCAACCGACAAAGGAACACGTTTATAACTTGTGTATTGATTTACATACATACGACACTAGAATTAGTTGTATTTCTTTTTTGTGCCAATGCGCTGTGCTTTTTGTTATAAATTTTTTTCTAATAACCTTTTGAAAAGACTGTATTTTTGACGATTGTGTTCAAATAATGTTTAATCTGGGAAAGCGAATGCATCGCACATTTCAAGTGATTGAAAATACTCAATTTTATTTCCTACTTTTATAGTTCGATGTTGTGTCGTCATTTTGACGTTATGTAAGTTTAAAAGATAATATTTGCTGTTATTTGCTGATAATATTTGTCAATATTATACAGAGGTAAGTTCTTTTGAAACCCATTGTTATCAAAGGATTATGACAGGAACATGTATGATTATGAGCCGATCAAATAAAAGGCATACTAGTTTACATTATTCCTTGAAAGCAAGCAATAGGATTTCCAAAAAAGTGAAAGTATACAGGATGTCTCAAAAACTTGAAACCCTTTAAAATCACTTGATTGACACTCGGAATTGCATGATTCAGCATGAATTAATCGCCGAGAATGAACAAATGCTATTTACTGGAATTTTATTCTAGGGATATGCAGGGTGTAGTGACGGCAATTCTTATGTTCTCATTAAAAATATTTTTTTCAGTTTATTAAACGCTTAAATAATGTGAGTTGGGGGGTTGGGCAGGTGTTAGGGGTAGTACCTCTGTACCCTGGGCAGCCGCATGCATTTGTGCATGGCTCAGAGCATTGGCCCTCACCACCTGTCTAGCTCACATATGGCTCCAAGTAGTTGCTTGTGCACGGCAACGGCCATCCCCCGGTAACGTCCTCGGCTGGACGGCGAAACTATGTGAGCGAGCTGCACTCTGGATTCTCCAGGTGTAGGCGGGTGTCATCTCACCCAAGTGCATGAAGACCTTCCGGCAATGAAGGCTGACGACTCTACCATGTTAGCGAGTACCATCTGTGTCATGGTCGAAAAGTCGGCGACAAATCTGACTCACCATTGCCTATGGCGATGGAAGGCTGGTCAGACACCCTGACAATACAAAAACATCAACTGTCTAAAAAGCCACAGGCACTATGGAGTCTTATGACCATCTGACACCTGCTTCCAGCAAACCCCCACTGCCTTGTGGGAAAGGTCTTTGCTAAGACTAAAGGCTAAAGGAAGGTGAACCTCAAACAACTCACTACGGAGATGGGACCCCGTAAAGGCAACCATGTTCAGTCAACGACAACTGGATTGGCAGTCTCTGCAGTGGAGTATTGTTGCCAGCACGTCCTGACTTGTTCTTGCCCGCTGGAGAACAGCAGTGCCCCACCGAGAGAGTGTCCTGGTAATGCAAAAGCCAGTGCCACTTAACATTTTGCATGCAGTTCTATGGAAATGAATAAGGAAGCTAGACATGATACCGGCTCGAACGTCGCCCGGGTTACCAAGGTTCGCGCTGGTCCGCTCCCGCTCCGGCGACCAGTGAGAAGTAAGCTAGGACGCAAGGTGGACCGCAAGGAGGACATCAAGAAACATCTGAGACTCGCAGGATGGAACGTGAGGACGCTGCTTGATCGACCTGGATCTAAACGACCGGAAAGGCAAACAGCGCTAGCAGCAAGGGAGTTGTCAAGGTACAGCATCGACGTGGCAGCACTGAGTGAAACCCGGCTGGCTCTAAGTGGCAGCTTGGTTGACCAAGGATACACCTTTTTCTGGAGTGGAAGAGGAGAGGGAGAAAAGAGAGGCTGGAGTTGGTTTTGCTATAAGAAACCAAATCGCCCAGAAGTTGGAACAAGAACCGGTAGCTGTAAGCGACAGAATAATCACTCTACGCCTTCCTCTGCAGGGGACGGTGTGGGCTACTATTGTTAGTGTCTACGCCCCGACCATGACTAACCCTGATGAGATAAAGGAAGATTTCTATCAGAAGTTGAGGGAAACTATCAGAGAAGTGCCCAGCACCGATAAGCTCATTATAGCCGGAGACTTAAATGCCAGAGTTGGAGATGAAGTGGAAAACTGGCCTGGAGTATTGGGACATTATGGCGTGGGCAAGTGCAACACCAATGGAGAACTCCTCCTAGCCTTGTGCTCTGAATATGGTCTGGTGATAACCAACACTGTTTTCAAGCATAAGCACACCCACAAGACGACATGGATGCACCCGAGGTCTAAGCACTGGCACCTCATCGACTACGTGATCACTAGGCAGAGAGACCAGAGGGACATAGTCAACACCAGAGCATTTAGAGGGGCTGATTGCAACACAGATCATAACATGGTGCTGTCCAAAATCGCCTTCTCACTAAGGAAACAAGTCAAGAAAACTGGAGGACAGCACAGGTACAATCTCAACGTGGCCAGACTGAAGTGTGACAGTGTGCGCAAAGACTTTCAGAGAAGTATGACAACATCACTACAGGAGAGCACAACAGGAGACTCGGATGTTGTAGGAAGTGGGAGACGTTAAGGGATACAGTATTTAATACAGCAAAAGAAATCCTAGGCAAACCGAAACGCAAGCACCAGGACTGGTTTGACGAAACAGACGAGGAGCTAAACAGACTACTAGAGGAGAGGAACCAGGCAAAAGCAAGACAGCTGACTGTAAACACCAGGTCTACCAGGGCAAACCTTGCATCAGCACGCAGCAAACTACAGAAGTACACCCGACAGAAGAAGTCTCAGTGGTGGGAGACTAAAGCAGAGGAACTGCAGCACGCCGCAGCAGAAAACGACATGAAGTCCTTCTATGGAGGTCTTAGAGAAGTATATGGCCCACAAAGAGAGGTACTGCCCAACTGCTCGCTCTTGATGGAGAGACTGTGTTGACAGACAACAAGAAGATGCTGGAAAGATTTGCTCAGCACTTCGACCAGTTGTTAAATCTGCCTGGAAACGTGGATAGTGCTGCTCTTGCGAGCATCACCCAACGTCCAACAGTCCACGTACTGGATGAGCCCCCAAAGATGGATGAACTTCTGAAGGCGATCGCAGCAACTAAGGAAAGCAAAGCTCCTGGATGTTGTGGGATACCTGCAGAAGTATGGAAGTATGGTGGTACAACACTCAAAGAGAGGCTGCTAGATGTGATCGGAGATATCTGGATAGGAGAGAAGATTCCACAAGATTGGAAGGACGCGAATATAGTCCCTATATTCAAGAAAGGCAGTCGTAAAGAGTGCGGCAACTATCGCGGCATTTCTCTACTCTCAATCGCTGGGAAGGTGATGGCTCGAATACTCCTCAATCGTCTGAACGAAATGATAAGTCCCAGAGTAATTCCTGAGACCCAGAGTGGATTTCGGAGTGGGCGGAGTACCATGGATATGATATTCAGCCTACGACAGGTTCAGGAGAAATGCACTGAACAGAACATGCCCTCTATGCAGTTTTCATAGACTTTACTAAGGCCTTTGACACTGTCCCTAGAGGCGGCTTGTGGGCAGTACTGAAAAGTTTGGCTGTACTGATAAGATTATCAATCTCGTGAAAGCGTTTCACGAAGGAATGCAAGCTAAAGTCACTCGTGGGAGCGACTGCTCTGAGGGATTCGCTGTCTCAACAGGTGTAAAGCAAGGGTGTGTGCTGGCTCCGACACTGTTCTCATTCTACCTGGCTGCCATGCTGGAGGTTGCCTTCGAGGACACAAGGGAAGGTATCTACATCCAGACTAGACATGATGGGAACCTATTCAACGCCTCACACTTCAAAGCTAAGACACGCACAACACGTCAGCTTGTCAGAGATATGCTTTTTGCAGACGACTGTGCTCTGGTTGCTCACAGTGCAGCAGAGATGCAGGCATTGGTGGACAAATTTGCACAAGCTGCCGCTATGTTTAGCCTCAAGATAAACATCAAAAAGACTGAGTGCCTCTACCAGCCAGTAAAGCTTCTACTCCCTCCCCCAAAACCCTGTGCAATCACCATAGACGGACAGCCTCTTGTCCAGACCACAGACTTCAACTACCTGGGTAGTACAATCTCCAGCAATGCTAAGATTGAAAAGGAGCTGAGGAACAGAATGGGAAGGGCGAGTGCAGCGTTCAGTCAACTAAACGATCGGCTATGGCAAAATAAGCATGTCTCGACCAGAGTTAAAGCCAAGGTCTATCAGGCGGTGGTGCTGACAACACTCCTTTATGGAGCAGAGGCATGGACAATCTACAGGCTTCAAGTGAAGAAACTGAGTGCGTATATGATGAGACAACTGCGGGACATTCTGAAGATATCATGGCGGGACAAGATCGCAAATGCTAAGATTCTCCGTCTGACTGACCTGCCACACATGGCTGACATGCTGATTCAAAAGAATTTAAGATGGATTGGTCATGTCCATCGTATGGAGGGATCTCGTTTACCACGCCAGCTGTTGTACAGCCAACTAGTAGAAGGGAAACGAAACCAAGGCCGACCTCGACTCAGACTCAAAGATGTCATGAAACGAAATCTAAAGAGGAGAGACATCAACGTGACAACCTGGAAGCAACTGGCTGATAACAGACCGGCCTGGAGAGCTTCAATCCAACCATAGAACAGTCCTCGTCGCTTACGACTGACTGCATGATGATGATGATGAATGTGAGTTCAATAGCACAATAAATACTCCCTGTAGTGCACGTGTCTTGTTGTTATTTGTAATCGAACTGGTGATAGCTATAGGTTATGGAATATGCATTGCCTTATTTTAATTGGACGACGTACGGATTTGGGAAATATTTTAAAATTCCAGGAGTGTAATTAGTGTCATACTAAGGAAAATTTTGAACATTAATTTTTTGAATGGAATTTATCAGTCAGAAATGAAACAAGAATACAAATGTTGCAATGAAAGAATAAGATGATGCTTTGTAAGCCCGGCCAAGTTTAAGATTGTATTCGTTCTTTTAATTTTTGAGAAGCACCTTTGCACCATTTCAGTCAGAAGTTCAGAAAAAACCTCGTTACGTATGAATCAGACAACAAATATGGAAAAGCTGACATTAACTTCTCACTTGACTCTGAAGTTGACCAACGCTTAGGATGTCAAAACGTTTAACAGTTACATAAACAGTTCTTTCCAGGACTGCCCAAACATTGATGATCTATATATATGTGAAAAATTGAAAATATTATATTTCGGATCGAACTTGTGTTGAGGTCTTTGTAAAGAGAGTTTGCTGTGATCTAATCTACATTCTAAGAATTATCTTTCAGCATGCTAGGTAGTGTAAAGACTGTTCTCATTCTTTGTTGTTCATTCATCACTACCTACACTGATACACGTTATCTTAGTTTATATTTTACGTAGTTTAAAGACTCTTCTCGTTCTCTATTGCTCATTCATCCCACCTACACGAGCTCACGTTATTTTAGCTTATATTTTAGAAAGTGTGAAGACTGTTCTCGTTTTCTTTTGTTCATTCATCTCCACATACATGAACACTGACTGCTAGCTCTTCTTCTCTGTTGTTCATTCACCACTACCTAATCTGACACAAGTTATTTTACTTTATGTAGTGTAAAGACTGTTTTCGTTCTCTGTTGCTTTCTTTAACCTTTAAATATTTTGAAATATGAGAAGAAAATGCTAAGTAATGCACATTTGCATCATACTGTTTTGATTAAAAGGTTTAAAACATTCAGCACATCATGAAAACCTAAAAAGCTCGTTTTTTCAAGTTTGGAAATTTTTCATGTACAAACGATCTAATTTTATAAACAAAATACACTGTATTCTTCCTCACAGAATGTATTGTGATTTTTCAAAAGCGAGCATTTCTTAGAAGATCATCTATTGTAGTCGAATGCATGCTGAAGTGGATGGTAAAGCTAAATGAGTTGCATACAAAAACTATTTACTTGTTATTGATATTCGTCAGAGGAGTTTTTAATTACTAATCTTTAAAATACATTCAAGCTTAGACTTTAACAAACTAGATAGTCAACACATAATGACTATATTTGTTTGTGTACCTTTTAAAAAAATATGTGAGGTGTTTACGTTTTGTGACCGTAATCTCTTTGTAGTGTTTCGATAAAAAAGACCAGCGTTCTTCAATGTCTATTTGCGTCAAATAAGAAATTTGATAAGTTGACACAGTTTGTATTTACACATTTGCATAAACACGGAGAAGTGTAGCTTTGTGGAATTAATATACAATAAAATAGAGACTTGTCGTGGTGACAAATCTGAAAATCGTTTTAAAGATAGCAAATACCATGGGGAGTGGTAAAAGTAATAAGTTAATAGTTCTTAAAAGATATGGTATTTGCGATGTTTAATTACTATAATACAGATTGTCTCGATATGTAAAAGTACTGTGTAGATTTCACCCAATCGAGCAACGATACCACAAACAATTATAGTATTGTCAATAAAATTTATTCTTGGCGGTACAAAAAATCATTTGAACTGTCATTTGTTAATCATAGACCATTTTGCTTAACAATTTTATGCATATACCAAGACAAAAAACTATAATAATCACCGATCGTATGAAGGAAATGTCTAAGTTAACGGTAGTCTGTTTTGTGTAAATTTCTGACAACAATCCTTTCTGTCATATTCTATCATCTCATTGTAGATTTCGGATTTAGTTTTTTTTATTTTTTCTTGGCATTTTTTCATCGCTATTACGTCAGTTTGGATATCGTAGTCGGAATTTGAAACAGGTTTAGTGAATTTTCATCATTTAGGTGCCCTGCAGTATACATCTGTTTGTGTAAAACCATCAACAAGTTTTGACCACTGGTACGACAGCTTGATAGCAATAACAATAATCATAAGAAATTAAGACACCATATTTGTTGTATAAAAAGTCCAGTAGTTGTAATCTATGTTACATGAGTTTGTTTGCCATCGATTCCTTTCACAAACCGTTTGATTATTTAACAAATGATAAAAAAATCCATGATAATTCAATAATTGGGTTCTTGTGCACCAAAATAAGGCAGATTTGAGCAGAATGTCTGGAGTGAAAGTTTGGAAATAAAAATTCATCATTTTTAGATTTTTTATGAATGTTTTCCGAATATTGATCAATTACAGGAAATGTGTAAGTGTCTATAGTACGTTGTTTTTCAGTTCGTTTAAACCTGTTAAAAAGCCGTTTGTAAGGTGCCGCATGGTAATCGTCTTGTTCGATTTAATGGTTCTTGCTCTAACGCAAGTCGTTGTCATTGTTTGATGCTGTAGTCAATGTTTTGTTTCGTTTGCTGGTCATGTTGATCACTCGACAATGTGGTTGTTCTGTCTTCTTTCGTTGTTGCTCGTTTGTGTTCACTGTTCACTGTTTAGTGAGTTATGCATGTTTATAATGCGTGGAGTTTTACCAATCTTCATTTACATAATGTTCATATTTGTATCAATATGAACATTATTTGCCTTAAAGAATGCAGTCAATGATAGACAAATAATGAGGACAATAACAAGTGTGGTCATGCCGCGCAATTCTAAAACTCCAAATCCGTAATTTAGCGATGATGCACCGTACACATTTCACCCTATATCGAGCACTACTTTTTTTCAGTTGAGTTTTATTTGGTTCAGTGATTGTTGCAGAAAAATAAAAATTGTTGGAAGGTGAAGGGATAGAAATGACTAGCTGTTATACTGCGAAATATGCATGGTGCTCAATTTTTTGATGCATAGAATCCAAAGCTAATTGCAATGAAAGTTAACAATTAAACAGCACACTCTTAGGTGTGAAAAACACGGAATTTACATTATGAATGGTGAAATAATTCACTCAATTGATTTCTGGATTTGTTATTACATTTTGTTATTTAATTTCAAATAGAAAACACATACTATATACAGTTTATATCACAACTAGTGTACCTACCTACACTGAAAGGCTGAGCCGTATGATGGGGGGGGGAAGGCTTAAGTTTCCAAGGGCAATTTTCATTTTAAAAGGACGCTCTTCTTGCAAAAAAGAGCACTTTTTATATTAAGTTTGAAAGTTAGGGGGCACGTGCCCCTCCCTCCCTCCGCCATTGCTGAAAGGTAATGTAAAGACTTTTGACATTCTCTGTTGTTCATTCATCACTACCTACACTGACACACGTTTATATTTTAGGTAGTGTAAAAACTGCTTTATGATCACTTTTGTTCATATTGGAGATGATGTGATTGATCCCAATTAAAATTTCCCTTTTTTAGACGAAAGTGTTAAGTCTTTAAAATATTGAAATGTCTATCTTTATAAAGGTAATGCTATGAATAAACTATGTTTGCATCGAACTGACAAAATTAAAAGGTCTAAAATATTCAAACACTTCATCAAAGATATTGTCCAAAGCTTTGACGTTGAAGTGTGCAAATACACTATTTTTGAAATATTGCGAAAGAATTTCATCGAAAAGATGCCAGAAAACTGAAGAATATTTGAAAATTTTTCTACGACATTATGCATAATGACGTCACTGGTTGTACTAAACGGATATTAAAAAACTTAATAACTTGAGAAATGAGAATCTAAAACGACATTCACGAACTGTTTTAGAAAGTACGCCGTCGTTTTAAAAGTTCTAATAAACGAGAATGTAAAATAAACACCGAAATCTTTCCTGTCAAAAGAAATTTAACATTCTTGATGATAACTTAACTTGAAATGATAAAAGTTTCAGCAAACATACAACACTAAATGAAATTGTTTTCAATTCAAGAAGAAAAAATTCATTCATAAATACATAAAAAAATACACACTGGATTCTCAGGTTAGCAGTCCGATAGATGCGTGAGTCGGAATCGTATAGATTATAAGTAAATAATTTTTATTCGATCTAGTAAATAATGATATAGCATAAATAACAAATGTGCGGTTTAACAGTATACCAAACGTAAATACATGAACTCACTTCTTTGCCGGGTCCTCACGATCTACATTAATTTCAATACAGGTTAGCCGATATAATAAAGTAATACAATGATGAAGCTTTCGCCCAGGTTAGCATGTGGTAACTGTCAGCTGCACTATAGACTCAAATCCTTTTTATCCCAATGAATATTGCGCGTCAAATTACGCGTCAGTTAAAACATGCATAAATTAAACTCCAGTGCTAAATAATTATATCCGTGCTGTTTGTCAGCAATCCACACACAATCTGTTAAGTAATTATGCCATTCCTAACGTATTATGGACTTTGAAAAAGAAATTGTTTCGCTCAAATCCACAACGGTAGGAAAATACATGATTGAGGGGGGGGAGGGGGGAGGCTTGTATTCATATGTGCATTCTATAATCCGCTGAAAGCATTGAATTTCAAAAATCAAAAGAACTAATAACGAGATACAACCACGGATTATTGAGCAAGCTACGTCCTTTAGTCTTATTTCTAAGAACTCACTGATCGCTAAGCTACAAAGTTGACCGAACAGTTGTTCTCCGTCGTATTGACTTCCAATTATGGCCGACTCTCATGGCCAGTGAATCGACCTTTTCATAAAATGCTTTGTAATGCAGTATTTTAATTTCAAAAACGATGAAAAAGAAAATATACACGGCAAGCCACTTGTCTTTGAGAAACTTTAGGATGTCTATAGAAGTAAGTTGTCTTCAAATCAATTCCAAATCGCGTTCATAGCTACTCTGTTTTGAGTTGACTGCCATTGTCGTTGACCTATGTTCGTGTTTGATGTTTATTTAATCCCTCTGCGCAAAGGTCTCGTCACTTTTTTGGGTGAGCTATCACACAAAGGAATACATACCGTTGTATTCTCCAGGTTTGGTCATATTCTTGGGATTTGTAAATCCAATTTGTTATTTGCATTTCTGTGTATAAATGAACACATCACCATTACAGTAGCAAGCCTTTGTATATGATCAAGCCTCACAAATTTAAGCTTAGATATTATTTGATAACAATAAAATAGAGTACGTAAATGTTATTTTTTGATCTTGTAGACACAAGAGGACCAACAATGTAAACTCTTTCTCGAGGGCTCCATGTTTGAGGATCATTTTAATGACTCAAGAAGATTTGTGAAGAGAGTTATGGCGGTCATTCTGAACTTTTTGATACCGAGTTTCTGAGGCGTATTTGTTTGTTACTTCTGGAACTAAGGACGTCAGCCGAGGTTTGTGTACCTAAAGATGTTTCTCTCTGTCATAGGGTATATTGCTATTTCCATATGATCTTAATAATGCAAGATCAATAATGCATTTAAAGTAAATGACAAAATATTTTGACATAAAGGTTTTGAATTTATTTTAAGAAATCTTCTGTACAAATGAACTAAACTATAACATACATATGAATTACCAATCTTTAATTCATACTTAACTCTACTTCCATGTTTTGAGCTCTTGGAAAAATGAAACTCAAAACTTTCTGTCATGTATCCTTGTATATATTTGACAATGTAAAACATTTAGTTCATTCATATTGCTGATGACTTAATGTTAAGTGAAACATGTTTATGTCAAAAAATTTCTTATTTGCTGTAAATGCCATGTATTGTTATATTTGCAATTTGGTCAATATATTAATATCAAATAAAAATATCGACTTTATTTGAAAAATATTTTAATTGATCTATTTATGAAAATGTACAGCAAATATACTTCATCACAAACAGCAAAATAAACAAGTTTTATTAAACTGATCATACTTCAAAAGGTTGAGAATTGTTGAAAGAGTGTGTTTATCTCTGCAAACTGTGAACTAGCTGCATAGGTCTATAAACCATAGTACATATTTCATTTATTTTCAATTTTGATATGAGTTTATCTCAGCAAACAATGAAATAGGTCTACTAAACCAGAGTACATACTCAATTTTAATCCAGTTTTGGTCAGAGTCTATCTCTGTAAACTATAAACTATGTCTATTAAACCAGAGAACTTATTCCATTTCATTCTAGTTTTGATCAAGTTTTATATTTGTAAACAATTAACTTTGTGTACCAACCTTATACCCATAAAAGCTCTCACTCCCTTTTCTATGAATACGATGATTTTTTCTTCAACTGGGCAGAGATGCCTTCGTTGAATGGTGTTAATGGTATAAAATTCTGCTGGGACATTTGATCAAAAGTTTCCACGAAACTGACTGAAGTACATATATTTGAAGGTTTAAGAGAATCGTTATGCATTATGACGTCACTGTTTGTACAAAATAGCCCGTCTACCAAATTCAATGTCTTAAGAATAAAAAAGAACATTGTTTTACGTAGATAGGTTACTGTCATTTTAAAAGTTTTTTTGAACGAAACTATGATTTATAAATCAAAATTTGCGCATCATAAGCATTTTGAATTTTTCAAAAAATGTCATCGGGATTCCAAGAAAAGTCTTTGAATTCAATCACTCCTGCATTGTATGAACGTTCTGCCTTAAGTCGGAATTCTAACGCTTTTTTCAGAGCAATGTCATTATCACACACCATCACCTGCAGTTACGTAGCGCTGTAGTCAGTGACGTAGTCAGTGACGTATCGCGGTAGCAAGTGACGTTGTCGCTCCATTTAAATTTGAGAACTTTATTAGTTTTCTTTTCTTTGAACATTTATTGTTTTTGAAATGAGTGAACGTCCAAAAAATACAGAACATGAGTAAATAAGCTGACCTGGTTACTGTGTACGTCGTACATAGAGCAGGGATAATTGAGGGGTGTCGGGGTTAGGAGGGGTGTCGAGGGTGCGTGCACGTTTTATATTCTTGATTGAAGGGGTGTAGAATGGGTACCAATTTTCTTACAAATACTAATAACCAAACAATTAAACGAAAGCAATTGAGATTAGAGAGATAAGAGCACACCCCTCCCCTACCCTACAAAAAAATATCGTGGATACATTCCATACCACCTTGGTGAATTGACTATGATAGTTTTTTCTTACATGTCAGGGACTGCGAAGTTCGATAATTGAGGGAGGATAGGGGTCTCTATCATCACGTTATTCATCGTCACGGGACTGACTTTTTTGCCCAAGTCATATTTTTCAATTTTGGGATTTTTGCGTAGAACTATTATTTTGTCGTGTGTTCTGTGTTTATTGCCGAAGACAATTGACAAAATCAAAAAACGACTCCATAAATTTTCAATATATGACGTTTATTGAAGTGTTTGACTGTTTTTAAAGTTATATTAATTATTTCCTCTTTTTCTCAAAAGTCTTTAAAATGACATCATCATAAACGTTCGTAACGTGACAATGTTCATGTTTTACTTCATTGGTTTCCGTTATTTGAAATATATGAATAACGAATGTAATCTTTCCCTGCCCCAGTTATTAATCTTTCCCCGCTCCCTGCAGTGTCGTCTTCCATCGAACTTTCAATTGCTTGAAATCAATAACATTGCTTCGTTCTCATCTTTCAGACATTTTTCTCAAATTCTGGAATAAACGAAGAAAAATGGCTACCTTGTTACGAGAGATTTGTCACATCTGTGATTCATCTCTCGCAGCTCGATATCAACCTCCACAAAGGGAATTTTATTTTCATTTGAACCTCACATCGCCCTCGCGAGATCATCTTGAAGTATTACGATTCCAAAAAGGTGATGTCGTTGCCGCTGACCAAAAGCGTTTACGATTGCATATGGGCTTCGAACTGGAATGAACGAAAGTCGAAACAAATGAAGAACAGGTTTCTTTTTTTGAACTGTATTGTGAGAGGCCAAGCAGGCAAAGGATTTGAACGCAGACCATGGAGGTACATAATGGTATTTGATACAAGGCACAGACGGCAAAGCAGCAAGGACTTAAATACGGAGCTGAGCCCGCGGATGAGCAGTGTAAATGCATTCGCAATGTTCACAGATTTAAGCTCGAAGCCATTGACTATACTTGATGTGAATTTCGAAGACATTCATAGCCATGTAATCTGCATGCCAGGTAAGATGAGAGTTAAAGAATGTGTGTCAACCAAGATGCATTGCGCGCTTTTGTTTGTGTTTACATCGTTACTTTTGATCTTACGGCACAATGAATTTACTTTCGTCACTATACTGTCTAATTTATCTGAAAAATTTACCAAAGAACATTGATTAAAACTCTATTTTATATTAATTATAACTGTTTTTCTAATTTACATGGACTACAATAACAAAATCTGCCATTCTCTTTACTCACAAGATGGCCGTCACGCCATGATTAACGCAATGCATTATGGTTAAGACACATTCTTTAAAGTGCCTATATCAGGGTCAGGGAAATAACGTCTATAGATAGTTACCTACATTGAATTTAAGAACATTTGCAATAAATTTGATAGGAAGAAAATTTTGTCTTTATGGGCTTTTTGGCTTAGAAGTATGTTACTCTGCACCGGATGTGATGTAAAAAGGAGAAGACATGCATTGAAGATACAGCTTTTTCAATATTAATTAAAGCTGCTATAGCAAATCTTGAAAAACTGCACTACAAATTTAAGATGTATAGGTGTATAGTTTGATGAAATGATTTTAAAGAATTTTAAAAGGAAACGTTTAAAAGTAAAGTTGCGTTTTCTCAATTTTACTTTACTTTCAGCGCGAAGTCACATACTTCTACGTACGCCCAAAGACCCCATGAGGATAACATTTTTGACCAGTCAAATATATTTCAAACGTTCTTAAAATTGATTTAACTATCCAAAGAAATTATTTCACTGTACCTGATACTTCTGGCACTTTAAAAAATAAAATATGTTTTTCGTGTTTGCAAATGCTTACTTTGGCGTCAATCCAACTTTAATGGAAGGAGGAGATGATATTCATATGTTTTGCTATGCGTGGCCAAGTTCTTTAGAAAGCAATTTCATATTCAAAAGAAATCAGCTTGTCATATTACGTATAGCAAATTATATGAATATGGCCCCCCTCAATCAACGTTGGATCAACGTCAGTGCATATACAAACTAACGATAAGTTTGGAAGAACTCGAAAGCTGATCAGTGCAAATCTTAGACTGAGATTGATTCATATGCTAATTCTCTTTGATTGATTAAATTGATTGAGCTCAGATCGAATTGCACAGGCTAATGCGAACTCAACTACAGAACAATTAGCGCACGCGATTTGGTGTTTTTCTTTTGAATTAAAAAATAAAAGATGCTCATTATGTTTTCACAGGATATATGCAAACCGGGGAGAACTTTGAGAGAACTCGAGAGCAGATCAGTGCAAACCAGAGGCCAAGTTCTTGGAGAGTTTCCTCGGTTTGTATTGCATTACCCTGTGCAAACCTTAGACTGAGGTCTTGGAGAGTCTCCTCGGTTTGCATTGCATTACCCAGTACAAACCAGAGACTGAGTTCTTGGAGAGTCTCCTTTGTTTGCATTGCATTACCCAGTGCGAACACAGTAAATAACTTTACGTACAGTTTCTTTTTTGAAATGAAAACAAATAACTTTAAAACAAATGTTTCAATTTTTCTTATAAAATGTATTCATGATTGATTTGCAAATTCTCTTGATTTGATTTTATTGACTGAGCTGACATCGGTTTGCACAGGATAATGCAAACTTTACTATAGACCAATCAGCTCACGCGTTGTATTGTTGATATTTTATTGTTCATCGGGTTTTAATTTGTAATATAATTCGTATTTCAAGTTTCCATTTTCCCGCGTAGGTACAAGGGACGCCAGGGGTGCACCTGTGGTATTTGTGGATACTGGAATGTTGGAATGGCAGATTCCAGATTTCAACAGCGAAGAAATAGCACAAATATGTCTATATTTGCTTCAAATTCCCAGGCAAGTAAACATTACGTACAGCGTTCGGTACACTGATCTCTGATAATTATGTATTGTCTGGATGCGTGGTGTCTGTCGTTAAAATACGGCAGAACGTAAGGTGCTTTACTGATGCTGCAGTTGTTTCAAGCGGGGACTGTATAAGTTTACTTTTATTGTCTTCTGTATTTTGAAACCAGCATTGAACTGGAACCAAGCGTAGAATTCAAGCACAAATGCTTGTTGACCACTAACAATAACCCATCCAACTGGATTTCTTGTGCAGATCCATAAACATTTTATTTGCAACCTATTAACCTTATTCTGCATTGAAATTCTTAAAGCACCAAACTTCTCTCATTGGCGATATTAAGAGTTTAAAAGTTGAAAACTTTCGAGACTGTTATGAAATAGAAAGTATCAAACTTTGTTCTTACGTAGTAATTTTCGTCCAAAATTTTTCCTAATTTTAGGCGTTGTGACTTTTGACGTTATCTTTATGCCTTTTCACAACAAACCGTCTACTGCGAATTAGATAACATAGTCTTCAGAAATCAAATTTTTATTTGTTGTTTTGCATCATCTGTCTTATCAATATTCTGACTGACCCGTGATTTTAAACATATCTTTTAAAATCCTAAACTGAAACTCATCCACAACGTCAGGAAATATCGTTAAAATCACGTGGACACACACATACGCACCTATCTAAGTATATAGTTTATTGGTATGAACTTCATCCGCTGGTCGATTGGACTGCGCAAGTTTTCAGTCATTCTTCTTCAGCTTGTTTCGACAATTGCATTTTCAAAGTTATCAGCATTACCTCAATGACCGTTGTCGTCCTTGACGTGCCTCCCCCCGTCACCATTACCTCAATGACCGTTGTCGTCCTTGGCGTACCCCCTCACCATTACCTCAATGACCGTTGTCGCCCTTGACATGCCCCCCCCTCTTCACTATTCTTATAATCAAAGTAGCCACTACACAACCATTTACAACAATATATCGTGTTCAAAAAGAAAATCGCTTTAATGTAAATCCTTGACAACAAGACGATAACTGTTTGTTCACACTATAATTTGTCGTAGGTTTTATAAAACTGTGTTTATTTCCCATTAAGTCATTGGATGCTCACCCCATGATACACAAATCAAAATTAATTGTGAGGTTATGGAGAGATAAAAGCCAAGGACCTTTGGTTTTTATGGCGGTTTGAGAGTCTATTGGCTGGCTTTTCATAAAAAAGAGGAAGGACCCCTTGCTTTATATGTTTTATGTCTGCACTTACTTAAAAACTTAATTAAGTATTTAATTCTAGACGTTTTATTATAAGTTTTGCTCTTTTAGCCTTCCCGGCGTTCCTTGTTGTCTTGCATTCGGGCAAAAAATTTTCCATTCTCGTTGTTTTAGGTTTAAGTTTTAAAACTATGTTTGTCAGTTTTTGTCGATGCACGAAACGCTGACGACAACAAAAAGACTCTGCAGATCATCGGGGAAGCTCTAATTTTTTTCGAGGTACGTTAAGTTTGAAGCAAGAAACGTTCGGAGAAATACAAAGCCTCATCAGTGATTTTGCATTATAAAATAGACTTTTAAAAAAACGGGCGCTAAATGTTTGAATGCTCGACATAAACAATGTGTCATTAAAATCGATAAATTCGTCTTTTTAATATTCTTTTTAAAAGACCGTTTTATAAAGGAAATACAAAAAAAAAATTTTACTTGTTCCTATTGAGTTACAGAAACACATAAAATGTTTTCTTAATTAAAGGTTGCATCAAGCAGAAAAAGACCTTTGCAAATTGATGTTGTTTTAATTTCAATGCCTAATTTTGCTGTTAGAACTTAACTTCCCAGGAGTAGAAAATCATTTATACCAGTAGGAAGAAAGATATGTAATATATGCACGTAGCGTACAATACCTAAACACCCTTTCCCTACGGATTTGCAAAGTGATAGGGATTAAAATTATCATCACGTCAATTACTAAAGGTCTTTATTTTTGATACACTTTGTGGAGTTTAAAGTACATCAGTTGCCAGACCTTTTATGACACAATTGGTCAAATTTGTCAGATCGACAGAATATGATTAAAAACGGGCAAATGACAAAATGAAGCAACTTTCACTGTACTTATACTCAGTACATTATAAATAACCTAAACAAGGAACTGGGTACTAGCCACAAGATTGCAATCGTGCTGACTACATAATGGAGTTGGCTTACGTAATCATCAAATAATACACAGCAATTTAACCATTGATCAAGTAAAATAAGAAAACATTGTAGCGAAATTTGAAAAGACCAAATATGGCCAAATTTACTTTGGTTGGGTAATGATTATTTTCCCAGCTAGTAATCGGGGGTGTTGGGGTAGGTGAGTGGAAAGACTCGTGTTGTTCTTTTGCGAAAAGATTCATGAAAATGTCTGTTTTTAGTTCAAATTGTTGTCCTCTTTTGATGATGTGTTATCTTCCAATTCAATGGATCAAATTCCCACGACCTTCAGCGGAAGCTTTGAGTACGATCACGATGCTTGGCTGCAGTTTTGATTGGTGAGAATTTTATCACGTTGTACGATTGTGTATTTTGATACATACTGTTAACATTGTCACGTTTCTGAAACAATTTGTAATAGACTTTTAGACATGTCTATCACATTTTACATTGTACATTTGTTGATAAAATTTTAAAATTTGACACGTGTTGATAACATTGAACATTTTGACACATGCTAATTACTTTGTATATTTTGACACATTTCTAGTCTTTGCTGAAGATTCGTACGTTCATTAAATTAGACTATAAGATGTTCAGCTATGACACAATTTATGTGATATGTTTTTTACGAACCTTCCTTGTGCGTGTTTGTACAATAGTTTGCCTTGATTACGTGCAGTCAAATCTCTCGAAGGATCGAATTAAGCTTTATTTTAATATGATTTGAAGATTAGTCGACATAGATTTTTGTCTATTGAGTTTTTTTTTCTTTAACCGTTGTAGCTTCACAGAACAATTCTATGTTCATCTAACTACACTTGTAAAAGGAAACCCTCTCTATTTGAATAAGGGAACGTCTCTTTTGTAAACTTGAAAGGGGGGATTTTCTCTAATATAAACTTTGAATAGGAGGTCCCTCTAATATTTATCTTTGAAACCTGTATTTTTAGAAACAAGAACCCTTCATGACGGGTTGTCGTTGTGCAAGTAAGCTGGCTTTGACGGCAATAGATGAACTTGGAATAGGAAAATTTGGTGAAACGGTAAAAGAATGTCAGAGATTGCTCAAAGAACACGATAAAAAAGTGAGCGCCATCTTTTCAGACAGACGCCTCTCTGCGTTACAAGTCAAAGGTGAACAACTTGTGCCGGGCATGCAGCAGACAGATAACTTGAAGAAAACACAAGACTGGAAATATACCACGGAAATTGTCTCGAAATTATATTTCAAAATGAATCAAATTTTCTCCAAGCTAGAAGTTTTGTATAGAAAACGAAAACGGGAGCTCGAGGATTGTCTACAGTTGAAATGCTTTCAAGAGGAATACGCTAAGGTATGAAATTATTAAGATGTTTGCCCAGTTTACTGGAAGAGTTTTAATACCAAAATATACAATATATTTGCCGTTGTTATAAAGTAAACTGAAATAATATAAGTGAATTTGCACTTTGTCTTTTCAAAAACTGTTAATCTGCTTCAAATCTTTTTGATCTCATGTGCGAGTGGGCCTCGATGGCGTTTGATTGTATTCAAATTAACATAAGAACAACGCTGTTTGTAAGAAATTTCTAAAGAATATTTAACTCCTACTCAAGCTGACATAACTCTGGCTTTTTCTAAAAAAAACATTGGCTTCTCCTAAAAAGTTTACATGACCGAATATTCAAGAAATTCGAAAGTAGAGAATATTGTCCTTCTAGTGGTACTGATATTGACTGGTTTTCCAAATATTGTTACAACCAAATTTGCAACTTTTGCTTTAAAGTGCCTGTAACACGAAATTTTGCTAGTTAAATTATGTTTGCAATGAATAGAACTTTTAAATTGTCATTGTACTTTCTAAAACAGTTAATGCACATCTCTTTCTCTTCGCAAGATATTGAAGTTTTTGTTATTTTCATTTTATCTAACTTGTGACGTCATATTGCATAATGAGTTTCCACAATGTTTTAAATATTCTTCAGTTTCCTGACAACTTTATATCTTATACCATTAACCATATCACAACAAAGGGAACTCTGTCCTTGTGAAGTAAAGTATCGTTAAATATACCGAATACTCCTACTTCTCATTATGCAATTTGATGTCACAAGTTAGATAAATTGGACAAAACAAAAACCTCAATATCTCAAGTAATAAAAGTAATGTGCATAAACTGTTTTAGAATGTCCATTGTCATTTCAAAAGATCTCTTCAATAAAAGTACAACTCAGATTGCAAATTTTTCATGTCATGGGCACTTTAAGCAAAGAAAATGCTTTAGTTTATGTAAGACTTGTACTTCCATGAGAAACATCGCCTTGTCTCAGCATCACTTTATCGCAAACAAATTGTCCTTCTTGGACTATATAATTGTCAATAAGATAAAGCGACATATTATCTGTCATACAAAAAAAGCGCTATTTCTGTGAAAATTTTTGCTTCTTCATCAACAATAACCTCGTATTTTTATCACACTTTTCCTAGTGTTAGGGAAAATAAAAATTGTTTAATAAATAAACTATATACAATTGGCAGTGATTTTGATTTTGATGAACAAAGACTTGACAAATCAACTGGTAAAATCCATACACTGCAGTTTAAAGATTCTGAACAAAAACTAATGCTATAAATTTTCTTTTACCTCAGTCTTTAGTAAAATACTAAAGTCATTTATTTCTTCTGTAATTTAATATAATAGTCAAAGGCTACAAGAACATTGAAGGTTTACATATTTAACTTTAAATATTGACTGTTCAACTTAATATTAAAAAGTTTTGCTGAGTAATAATGATCATATTATTTACAGAATACTTTGTGCTTATACATAATTTTGCCCAAAAAGTAAAACTTCAGAAATAGCTGAAGATCATGATTCATTCATTGAAGGAAGATATGTCCATGAAGAACTACTTCCCATTTCGAAACACTCCACTGATTTAAGACGTTCATCTTCATCATTATAACCCCCCATGACAACAATTGTATCCTCTGTTATAACTGCACAACATCCCTGTCTCTTTTCCAACATGGATGGTAAGACTGTAATGTTACCTGTATTACAGTCATACATGATAACACTGTTCAATTTTTCTCTTCCATCATAACCTCCAAGAAGAACAACTTGATCTCTCCATTGAGCTGTTGCCATTTCAGTCAATGGATGAGGTAATGGAGGCATTTTGTTACAGGTAAGAGTCCTTGGGTCAAACTCCAAAACACTGGACAAAACTTTCCTATCTTTTCCCTTTCCTCCAAAAATAAGAACTTTGTCATCAACCACAAGAGCTCCATGGCCACGCCGTGGTTCAGGCATATGACACAACTCTTTTAAAACATGAGATGTTGTACGAGTAATCTTTATTTCACTGATCAAATCTGATGGTCCTTTACCAACAATGTATCCTCCAATGTGAAAGATTTGTTGTTTACAAACAACAGTTTGATGACTCCAACATACATGAGGAAACTCTGTGGGAAATATCTTCCATGTCAAAGGTGACTGTTTTATGTTAAATGTCTCCATTGACTTTCTATAGCCACCTCCAACAACAAATAAATTATCATTATAAATAAATGATGAAGCACAGCTGTGTTCATTTTCCATTGATGCAATGTTAAACCATTTCTTCTCCTTCCATGAAAATATTTCAACACTTTTGGAGGAACAAAATGAGTCACCACCAGCAATCAAAATATCTTCTTTTCCCGAATTCTTCATTCCCTCAATTGGTGATGGCAATGTTTTGACATGTTCATTTTTAGTCATCTTTCCCAATATTTGAAGCATCATGACTTTCATTTCTTTCATTTCTTTGGTCGCTGTAGAAAGATTTTGTTGAACGTCTTTTATTTCTTTCCTTGATTCCATCATTTCTTTGGTCACTGTAGAAAGATTTTGTTGAATGTTTCTCATTTCTCTTTTCGATTTCATCATTTCTTTCTGCATTTTCTCTTTCCCCTCAAAACTTTGTTGAAACATTTCTTTTATCTCCGCAAAATCGTGAGAAGGAATCTTTCTGTATTCACATAACTCAGTTTCATGTTTAATCTTGTCTCGTTTGTTTATCTCCTGATCACAACGTTCATTAGAACACAACACTGGAGCAAAGCCACAATTTTTCACATGTCTTTTAAGATCTTCAACATTTATAAATTCTTTGCAACCACGAATAGCGTAGTCGCAATTGATCTTTAACTTAGAAATCATATTATTTATAACACGCGCTGGAAGAAGTGTAGCTACCGTCAAATAATCTTGACATTGAGGACATCTTTGTGCATTAACTCGTAGATGTTCTTCAATACAAGAACGGCAAAAGATGTGTTCGTTGTGTTGACACATTCTTGCATCTTTAGCGACGTTGAGACAAATTGCACAGCGAAAATTTTCATCAACAGCATTCTTAAATCTCGATTCATCATAGCCACATTCATCATCATTAGGACAATAAGCCATTTCATTCGTCTTCCCGTATAATTCAGTGTTAAGATTAATTTCAGAAGTGACGAAATTATTTGTTTATCGCTACAAGTTAAAGCTAGAAAATACGTTGGAATATGCAGTCGACGTTTGATAAACACGGAAGTTAAAACCGAAAAATAAGAACGCCTAGTTTTATATTAAACAAAAATAGGTAGGCAATTTAATCCCTCTGCGCAAAGGTCTTGTCACATTTTTGGGTGAGCTATCACACAAAGGAATACATACCGTTGTATTATCCAGGTTTGGTCATATTCTTGGGATTTGTAAAGAAATTTTGTTATTCGTAGTCGACTGCAAACAAGCTCATCAGTAATCATGTTCGATCTTTGACGTCTTTGATGTACGTTGTGATCACTTGTCATCAATTGTGTATAATCTTTGTAAGTGAAATTATAAAAAGTTGCGAATATCGTTTACAGAATATTTGATCCAATTTGTTATTGGTATTTCTGTGTATAAATGACCGTTACAGTAGCAAGCATTTGCGTGTGATAAAGCCTCGCAAATTTGAGCTTGGATATTATTTGATATCAATAAAATAGAGTATGTAAATGCTATTTTTTGATCTTGTAGACACAAGAGGATAAACAATGGAAATTCTTTCTCAAGGGTTCCATGTTTGAGGATCATTTTAATGAACTCGAGAAGATTTGTGAAGAGGCTTATGGTGGCCATTCTGAGCTCTTTGATGATGAGTTTCTGAGGCCTATTTGCTAGTTACTTCTAGAACTAAGGATGTTAGCCAAGGTTTGTGTACCTAAAGATGTTTCTCTCTGTCGTAGGGTATAGTGTTATTTTCATATGATCTTAATAACGCAAGATCAATAACTCATTTAAAGTAAATGACAAAATATTTTTGACATAAAAGGTTTTGAATTTATTTTAAGAAATCTTCTGCACAAATGAACTAAAATATATGATACATATGAATTACCAATCTTTAATTCTTACTTAACTCTACTTCCATGTTTTGAGCTCTTGGAAAAATCAAATTCAAAACTTTCTGTCATGTATCCTTGTATATATTTGACAATGTAAAACATTTAGCTCATTCATATTGCTGATGACTTAATGTTAAGTCGAAACATGTTTATGTCAAAACAATTTCTTATTTGCTTTAAATGCCATGTATTGTTATATTTGCAAATTGGTCAATATATCAATATCAAATAAAAATATCAACTTTATTTGAAAAATATTCTAATTGATGTATTTATGAAAATGTACAGCAAATATACTTCATCACAAACAGCAAAATAAACAAGTTGTACTAAACTGATCATACTTCAAAAGGTTGAGAATTGTTGAAAGAGTGTGTTTATTTCTGCAAACTGTGAACTAGCTGCATAGGTCTATAAACCATAGTACATATTTCATTTATTTCCAATTTTCATCAGAGTTTATCTCTGTAAACTATGAACTAGGTCTACTAAACCGGAGTACATACTCAATTTTAATCCAGTTTTAATTAGAGTCTATCTCTCTAAACTATAAACTACGTTTATTAAACCAGAGAACTTATTCCATTTCATTCCAGTTTTGATCAGGGTTTATCTTTGTAAACAATTAACTTTGTGTACCAACATTATACCCATAAAAGCTCTCACTCCCTTTTCTATGAATATGATGATTTTTTCTTCAACTGGGCAGAGATGCCTTCGTTGAATGGTGTTAATGGTATAAAATTCTGCTAGGTCATTTGATAAAAAGTTTCCTCGAAACTGACTGAAGTACATATATTTGAAGGCTTAAGGGAATTGTTATGCATTATGTAGTCACTGGTTGTACAAAATAGCCCGTTTACCAAATTCAATGTCTTAAGAGTAAAAAAAACGTTGTTTTACGTAGAAATGTTACTGTAATTTTAAAAGTTTTTTGAACGACAGTATATTTTATAAATCAAAATTTTCGCACATAAGCATTTTGAATTTTTAAAAAAATGAAATCGCGATTACAAGAAAGGTCTTTGAATTCGATCACTCCCGCATTGTATGAACGTTTTGCCTCAAGTCCGAATTCTAACGCTTTTTTTCAGAGCAATATCATTATCTCACACCATTACCTGCAGTGACGTAGCGCTGTAGCCAGTGACGTAGTCAGTGACGTAGTACGGGTAGCAAGTGACGTTTTTGTTCTATTTAAATTTAAGAACTTTATTAGTCTTCTTTTCTTTGAACATTTATGAACGTCTAGTGAACGTCAAAGAAATACAGAAACTGAGTAAATAAGCGCACCTGGTTACTGTCTACGTCGTACATATAGCAGGGATAATTGAGGGGTGTTGGGGCTCGGAGGCGTGTTAAGGGGTGTGCACGTGTCATATGGTATAATATGCAATATCTTTAGTGGGTTTCAATTAATCTTGTTTTGGTGTATGATTATCAGGACTTTGACTTACGTAAACTGATGCTACTGCTAATGTTGCAACGTATGCCATTTTTGCAGTTTTAATTGGTGAGGCGTAATGATTTTAAAAGCAAACGAACTTTTTGGCTTTGGTTAACTTAAATCACGTTTATCGAGAAAGCGGAAGAACCGGTGGTGATCTTGCGATTGTTTGTCGGTCTAGCCTGCCGTTGCTTCTGAAAGTCATTGGAATTTGCGATTTCTATGTGTGTGAAGTCTCCCCGATATTCCAGTTGCTACAATTTCTCTTTTCTAGTTCCGATAATCCCATAGCTCAAATGGTTTTATAAGTTTTCATTCGGGTCATGGAGTTCGTGATATGTTGGACCACTGACTGGGTTGACATGTACTTTATGTTCACATGTCATTGTAAAAGTTTGAGATCGTAGAGATCGTCAACATTAATGATTTTTTTTAGGAATGTGAAACTGGCTTTAAACATGAAAGCAGAGGACTACGAGTTTCAAATTTATGTTTTATTTACATTCAAATATTTCACTCCCTTTTATGTTTTTCAACTTTGAATTTCTTCTGTAATCTAATGCTTGCATTTTTCATCTCCATAGGAGATGCAACCAGGTAGCGTTCACATTGCCTACATCCTCGAACGAAAAGATTCACATCTTTTGATGTTCAGTGCTGATAAACTAAAAGAAAAACTTAAATTTCAAGTGAGTTGGGGAGTGTTGGGGTAGGTGGGTGGAAAGACTCGTGTTGCCCTTTTGCGAAAAAGTTCATGAAAATATCTGTTTTATAGTTCAAATTGCTGTCGTCTTTTGATGATGTGTTCCATTTCGATGGATCAAATCCCACGACCTTTGACGAAAGCTTTGAGTATGATCACGATGCTTGGCTGCAGTTTCGATTGGTGAGAATTTTATCACGTTGCACGATTTTGTATTTTGATACATACCGTTAACATTGTCACGTTTCTGAAACAATTTGTAATAGACTTTTAGACATGTCTATCACATTTTACATTGTACATTTGTTGATAAAATTTTAAAATGTGGCACGTGTTAATTACTGTGTACATTTTGACACATTTTTAGTCTTTGCTGAAGATTCGTACATTCAGTAAATTGGACTATAAGATGTCCAGCTATGACATAATTCATGTGATAAGTTTTTCACAAACCTTCCTTGTGCATGTTTGTATAATAGTTTGCCTTGATTACGTGCAGTCAAATCTCTCGAAGGATTGAATTAAGCTTTATTTTAATATGATTTAAAGATTAATCGACATATGTTTTTGTCTTATGAATTTTTTTCTTTAACCGTTGTAGCTTCATAGGACAATTCTATGTTCATCTAATTACCTGAAAGGGGGGATTGTCTCTAATGTAAAGTTTGAATAGGGGAGCGTCTCTTATATTTATGTTTAAAACCTGTATTTTTAGAAACAAGAACCCTTCATGACGGGTTGTCGAAGTGCAACAAAGCTGGCTTTGACGGCAATAGATGAACTTGGAATAGGAAAATTTGGTGAAACGGTAGAAGAATGTCAGAAATTGCTTAAAGAACACGATAAAAAAGTGACACGATAGCTCACACAAAGAGATTGCTCGAATAACACGATAAAAAAGTCAGCGCCATCTTTTCAGACAGTCGCCTGTCTGCGTTACAAGTCGAAGGTGAACAACTTGTGTCGGACATACAGTAGACAGATAACTCGAACAAAACACAAGACTGGAAATATACCATGAAATTGTCTCGAAATTATATTTCAAAATGAATCAAGTGTTCTCCAGGCTGGAAGTTTTGTACAGAAAACGAAAACGAGAGCTCGAGGATTGTCTACAGTTGAAATGCTTTCAAGAGGAATACGCTAAGGTATGAAATTATTAAAATGCTTGCCCAGTTTACTGGAAGAGTTTTAATACCAAAATATACAATATCTTTGCCGTTGTTATAAAGTAAACTGAAGTAATATTAGTGAATTTGCACTTTGTCGTTTCAAAAACTGTTAAGGTGCTTCGAATCTTTTTGATATCATCCGCGAGTGGGCCTCAATGGCGTTTGATTGTATTCAAATTAACATAAGAACAACGCTGTTTGTTAGAAATTTCTAAAGAATATTTAACTCCTACTCCAGCTGACATACATCTGGCTTTTGCTAAAAAAACTCTGGCTTTTGCTAAAAAAACTCTGGCTTCTCCTAAAAGGTTTACATGACCGAATATTCAAGAAATTCGAAAGTAGAGAATATTGTCCTTCTAGTGGTACTGATATTGACTGGTTTTCCAAATATTGTTACAACCTAATTTGCATCTTTTGCTTTAAATTGCCTTAAACACGAAATTTTGCTAGTTAAATTACGTTTGCAAAGAATGGAACTTTTGAAATGACATTGTACTTTCTAAAACAGTTAATGCATATCTCTTTCCCTTCGCAAGATATTGAAGTTTTTGTTATTTCCATTTTTTCTAACTTGTGACGTCATATTGCATAATGAGTTCCCACAATTTTTTAAATACTCTTAACCACGTCACAACTCTGTCCTTGTGAAGTAAAGTATCGTTAAATATACCTAATACTTCTAGTTCTCATTATGCAGTTTGACGTCACAAGTTAGATAAATTGGACAATGCAAAAACCTCACTATCTCAAGAAATTAAAGTGATGTGCATAAACTGTTTTAGAATGTCCATTGTCATTTCAAAAGATCTCTTCAATAAAAGTACAACTCAGATTGCAAATTTTTCATGTCATGGTCACTTTAAGCGAAGAAAATGTTTTAGTTTATGTAAGACTTGTACTTCGATGAAAAACATCACCTTGTCTCAGCATCACTTATCTCAAACAAATTGTCGCTTTTGGACTATGTAATTGTCAATACAATAAAGCAGTGAGCGAATTAGTTCAGAAAAAACGATGTGCAATTTTTTTGACAAAAGTGTTTCTTTAGAGGCATAATCAAATCGATATTACGTTAATTATTACATAGCGCTAATTGCTAAATTAATATTTTTAAACGTGAACAAATTCATATGATTTACGACAGTGTTTGTCGTTAAAACCGCTGATTTTTGCACATCGTTTGAAAAAGTGATGTGCAATTGTTTTCATTTTAGCTAAGACGATGTGCAAATTGCACATTGCACACTGTTAATTCGCACACTGCAATAAAGCGACATGTTATCTGTCTTACAAAAAAAGCACTATTTCTGTGAAATTTTTTGCTTTTTCATTAACAATAACCTCGTTTTTTTATCACACTTTTCCTCGTGTTAGGGAAAATAAAAATTGTTTAATAAATAAGCTATGTACAATTGGCAGTGATTTCGATTTTGATGAACAAAGACTTGACAAAACAACTGGTCAAATCCATACACTGCAGTTTAAAGATTCTGAACAAAAACTAATGCTATAAATTTTCTTTTACCTCAGTCCTAAGTAAATTACTAAAGTTATTTATTTCTTCAGTAATTTACTATAATAATCAAAGGCTATAAGAACATTGAAGGTTTATATATTGAACTTTAAATATTCACTGTTCAACTTAATATTAAAACGTTTTGCTGAGTAATAATGATCTGATTATTTACAGAATATTTTGTGCTTATACATAATTTTGCCCAAAAGGTAAAACTGCAGCAGTAGCTCCATATCGTGATTCATTCATTGAAGGAAGATATGCCCATGAAGAACTGCTTCCCATTTTAAAACACTCCACTGATTTATTATATTCAGTTTTATCATTCTTACCTCCCATGACAACAATTGTATCACCAGTTATAACTGCACAACAGTGGGATCTCTTTTCCAACATGGATGGTAAGACTGTAATATTTCCTGTTTTGCTGTCATACATGATAACACTGTTCAAATATTCTCTTCCATCATAACCTCCAAGAAAAATAACTTGATCTCTCCACTGAACTGCTGCCATTGCTCTTCTGGGATGAGGTAATGGAGGCATTTCCTTAAATTTAAGAGTCCTTGGATCAAACTCTAAAACACTGGACAAAACTTTCCCATGTTTTCCATGTCCTCCATGTCCTCCAAAAATAAGAACTTTATCATGAACAACAACAGCTTCATGGAGCGAACGTTCTTCAGGCATACGACACAACTCTTTTACAACAAGAGATGTTGTACCAGTAATCTTTATTTCATAGATCATATCTGATTTTGTTGTGCTAACTATGTATCCTCCAATGTGAAAGATTTGTTGTTTACAAACAACAGTTTGATGACTCCAACATACATAAGGAAACACTGTTGGATATGTCTTCCATGTCAAAGGTGACTGTTTTATATTCAATGTCTCCATTGACTTGTGTCCAACAGCAAATAAATTATCATTATAAATAAAAAATGAATCCCCTGCGTGATCATTTTCCATTGATGCAATGTTGCACCATTTCTTCTCTTTCCATGAAAATACTTCAGCACTCTTTTTGGAACCAGGTGGGTAACCACTAGCAATCAAAATATCTTCTTTTCCTGAGTTCATTATTCCCTCAATTGATGATGGCAATGTTTTGACATGTTCATTTTTAGTCATCTTTTCCAATATTTGAATCATCATGACTTTCATTTCTGTCATTTCTTTGGTCACTGTAGAAAGATTTTGTTGAACGTTTTTTATTTCTCTCCTTGATTCCATCATTTCTTTGGTCACTGTAGAAAGATTTTGTTGAACAACTTTTATTTCTTTCCTTGATTCCATCATTTCTTTGCTCACTGTAGAAAGATTTTGTTGAACATCTTTTATTTCTTTCCTTGATGCCATCATTTCTTTGGTCAGTGTAGAAAGATTTTGTTGAACATCTTTTATTTCTTTCCTTGAAACCATCATTTCTTTCTCTATTTTCGTAGACAGACCACATACATCAACAAGTTTTTTATCCATTTCAGCTTTAACTTGTTTCATTTTTTCATTTACTTGATTCTCAAAACTTTGTTGAAACATTTCTTTTATCTCCTCAAAATCGTGAGAAGGAATCTTTCTGTATTTACATAACTCAGTTTCATGTTTAATCTTGTCTCGTTTGTTTATCTCCTTGTCACAACGTTCATTAGAACACGACACTGGAGCAAAACCACAATTTTCAACATGTCGTTCAAGATCTTCAACATTTATAAATTCTTTGCAACCACGAATAGCGAAGTCGCAATTGATCATTAACTTTGAAATCATATTGTTTATAACACGCGCTGGATGAAGCGTAGCTACAGTTAAACGCTCTTGACATTGAGGACATCTTTGTGCATTAACTCGTAGATGTTCTTCTATACATTCACGACAAAAACTGTGTTGATTAAGGCACATTCTGGCATGTTTCATGACATTAAAACAAATTGCACAGCGAAAATTTTCATCAACAGCATTCTTAAATCTCGACTCATCATAGCCACATTCATAATCATTAGGACGATAAGCCATTTCATTCGTCTTCCCGTATAATTCAGTGTTATGATTAATTTAAGAAGTGACGAAATTATTTATTTATCGCTACAAGTTAAGGCTAGAAGTTACGTTGAAATTTGCAGTTGACGTTTGATAAACACGGAAGTTTAAAACGAAGAATAACAACGCCTAGTTTTTTATTTTAACATATTTGTGTAAAACATTATGAAGACAAAAAAGATAAAACAAAACAATGCAATGAAGCAGATCTACAAAAGACATGCATAAACAAAAATAGTTACGCAATTCGTACATGTGGTAAACTTCAGTTATGTGGCCACAAAGTGAAGTAGATTTTTAAACATAGTTTCGATAATATATAATAAATACAATTTTTGTCAAGATTGTGTTCAAGATTTTAAAATGTGTTGAATGCTTAGTCAAATGACTCAGTAACTCTTACTTTTAAACACTTTCTGCATCTATCGAACGCGTTCGCTCAAACCTCAAATCATGGAAAGTGAAGAGTCCTTTAAGAGTTTTTACAAATTTGAACGATAAATGCATTGTCGTTTTCACTAATAACCATTTATTTGCAATAATACTTGTCTTAATTGTCTTTCAAAACAGTTTCCGAACTCACATGAGATGTCATTTATTCAACCGACAAATGAACACGCTTATGACTTGTGTATTGATTTACATACATACGACACTAGAATTAGTTGTATTACTTTTTTGTGTCAATGCGCTGTGCTTTTTGTTATTAATTTTTTTTAATAACCTTTTGAAAAGACTGTATTTCTGACGATTCTGTTCAAACAATGTTTAATCTGTGAAAGCGAATACATTGCACATTTCAAGTGATTGAAAATAGTCAATTTTATTTCCTACTCTTATAGTTCGATGTTGTGTTGTCATTTTGACGTTATGTAAGTTAAAAAGATAATATTTGCTGTTATTTACTTTCTGCCTTTCATTCAACACACCAACAAAGTAAGCCTAGGTAAATGTAAACAATGCGAATAAAAGTGTTGAATTTGACTAAATTCAAGTACAGTTCATTGTATTAAGTATAAGTTTCTCGTACTACCATTCCACAAATATGATAAAATTGATATTTTTGATCATTTGCATTGTCTACATTTGTATTATTTCTTGAGGATTTTATTGCTCACTTTTTATCATTTTTTGTAAAGTTTTATATAGAGCACGATAGAACGTTAAATGGATAAATCAATTTTATGTTTTGTTCTTCATGAACAGACGATTACTGGCAATATCATAATATACAGTTGAATGGTTGAGCCTTGTATTTTTTTTTAATTAATATTTCTGAAGATTTTACTTAGACCATGGCGTAAACTTTCCACAAAATTAAACAAATTAACAATCAAGGTACCCAATATCACCGACAATGTTTTAATTATAATACAAAATCAACAATTATATAACAAAAAACCCGGAATGAAGTGCTTTAACTGACAAGTGGGCAGAAAATTTAAAAAAGAAAAGGACTTTGTGTTGGTTTCATGCTCACTTGAGCATGTGGTCTTTGATGTAACCTACATTTGAAAACACATCACAAATTGTGTGGTTTCACTGTTTTCGGTGAAACAAAGATTAAATTTTTGCAATTAATCTTATGTGAACCAAACTTACTTTTAAATTTTTAATCAATATATTCACTCTGGCTATTCCACACTTTCTGCGAGTAAAGAAAAACTTTGCATTTCCTTTTTTTGGCCAAAGTTGACATTTGGCACGTTTGTCACGTTATCGTTTACTATCAACTGTAATTTTCAAATTTCAATAAGCGAAGAAAGAATGGATGCTCACGTGATTACACTGACCTTTTCAAAAAGCTTGATTGTATAGTCAACAGTGTAAAATTTATTGATCTTATAGGCTATCGATATTCGACACGAATTTTGTAATGTATTGTTTAAATGTTCTTTTAGGTATTAGAGTAGCTACAGGATGTCAGTATGCCTTGTTTAGAAAAACCTGTGGAGATTGCACAGTCGTATGGACAAGCGCTCAGTTACCATGGTAACTTCGAGAAATTCCTGGCACCTGCTAAGGTATTATGGTATGGATTGGAAAGTAAAAACTACAGTAAATTATATCAATTTGTCACAGGCACAGACATGATCACCAGTTGTTTGTAACCTTTACTTAACCCCCCCTTCTTTGTTAAACCTTTCTTTGAAAGGAAACTGGTCCAACTGGAGAAAATCTAAAACTTTGAGCTTAGCGTTGACGAATTCCTGACTGCACAAGTTTTCTTAAATATTTTTCCTGTAGAACTTCACTGAAGACTGTACAAATTTCTCCCACTTGGTACGTAATTCTCTCATGCAACATATCTTTATCGTATATTGTACATTTTTATCCATACCGTACAATTATCAGACATTTCACGTTTACTCAAATTTTACATCAATTATTTCTTTTTTAGAGTTAAATACTCCAAGCTCAAGATTTACTAGAGGATGGTAGCAATATAGCTCAGTGGGGAACTGATGATTGCATTGGTGTAAAGGAAATGTCAAAGGTACTGAAGACGAGACTGGATCAATTCACTACAGCACTAGACGAAAGACGTGTGTCACTCTGGTCACATGTATGGAGTTTCATGAAATGATCAGAGAGGTAATGCTAATGATTATCTGAGTGCTTGTATCACGCGGTTTCTCGTTCATGTAAATTATTGGTCTGACTGTTTATACCACGGGATTTCTTGTTCGTGTGAATAGCTGGTCTGATTATTAATATCAGGTGGTTTCTCCTTTGTGTATGTGATTGGTCTGACTGCTTATACCAAGTGGTTTCTCTTTTGTGTAACTAATTGGTCTGACTTATCATAATACATGTTTTATCAATCAATAGAGAATACACTTAGATGAAGCAAGAAAGAGAAGGGAAAGAATTTCAACTTGATAAATTGGAGACAACAATTTGTAAATCATTATGATACACAGTGGCGTGGCCAGCCTGAATTTATACCACTGTTTTACAAATATTTTATGTTGACCTGTCGTGAGAACAATAGATTTCTAAAGAAATGAACAATGATAATCTTTAGGAACTTACGTAGCAGGAGTAAGTCTGTAGGTTGGCTAGGTTATTGATGACATTTCATAAACTTTCCTTCCTTCTTATCGTTGGTTTACTTCTTTTGAAGAGACTAGTGGAACTTTCGATCTTCTCAATAACTGTGTGGTATAGTTAAGTATTATTTCCATTAAAGACATCTCTTACGTCATTACAGAGTTCTGAATGAAGAATTCAAGCATCGAAACACATGGCATTGATGATATGGAAGCATCAAAATCCTCTAAAGGTGTCGCTTCACTGAAAGAAAACATGGAAGGATTTCTTCAAGAATTTCCCATGTGGTCGAAGGAAAGATTAAATATCTTAAATGAACTTTCTGGTAAATTGAAGAACGAAGATCTACAAAATCAGGCCGAGAAATCTGTTACGGAGTACAAGGAAGTCGAGAAAATGTTTTTAAAATGTCAGGAAACATTACAGAAGGCGGCCGTACGCGTATAAGTATGTTTTATGGAGAAGTTTTAACCTAGCAAGTATGGTGGTGTTAGCGATTTTCAACTGCCTTTAATCGATATTTGTGTCACCACTTTATATACTCCTATGGAAATGACAGTTCATTACAAATATCGTTGTATAAACAAACTGTCTAGTACGTTGCTTTAGGGAAGCTTGTGATTATTGATTGTGAATGCTGTTTGATCATCCATGAAAATCCCCTTTATCCATAGGTCTCTGATGCATCCACAAACGGTACCAGCGAGGGATCGTCATCTACATCAACATCGAACTCAACCTCGTGTGCAAACGATGAGGAAGGAGACATGGACAGTGATGATGATGAGGATGCTAAATTAGATCTTCCTGAAGATTTATCTCATACATGTATGTTTATGAAGACGTTAATTGAGCTTTTATCCACTTTATTTTGTTCGCTATAATTCTATTGTTTTTTTCTTTTTCAACAATTATTCCTATGATATTTCCCTCCATACACAACCAGCATTTCTGTTATATTTTCCTTTACATATAAGAAATCCTCTATTGAAATCTTTTGAAAATACGTTATCAACTTGTTTGATCAATAAACGTTTGCTCTTTGCAACATGAATGCAAAAGAACTCCTTAGCTAGTGAATGAAAATGGTTTTGTTTTTCAGATTGCTGGAGAACAAGATGAACAAAGTTATCAAAAACTTTCAGAAAAAACCAAAGAGTAAGTTTGCAAGCTTTATATTAAAATAAAACATCCATCTTTTGTCCATAAACATCCATATAATTTCCTCAAAAACTCAAGGCCATTATTGTTTTTTAGAAAGTTGTTATATATTGTGGATGAAATGGTCACTACCGAAAGAGATTATGTCAAATCCTTGGATTACGTAATCCAGGTAATCTTGGAGTTAATTTTGTCAAGTGTTTACGTTATCAGTAATTTCGTAAAATTTCTTCGTTTAGAATTATATAAAGCAAATGGAGAGTGACGATCTACCGGCGTCATTAAAGAAAAAATTAATATTTGAAAATATTGAACGATTGTATGACTTTTACAAAAGGTAATTTTTCTGTTTCCAACATTTCTCTCTTGTTTCCAACATTTCTCATATTACAAACCGTCGTCGTTCCTTTTTTTACCTTTGTCGTTTTGTTAAAAACCGTCGTCTTTCCATTTTTTACCGTTGTCGTTTTGTTACAAACGTCGTCGTTCCATTCATTTGAAGCGTTTGCAGCAGTTTGCAGTGATTGTTTAGAAGTGTATTTAAATATGAATAAATATTAATCACACTGGCATATTATGTTATTCGAGTACAAATAAGATGGAGAAAACGCAGATTACAATGTTGTGTGTAGACTCAACATTTTTTTATAAAATAGAGCATTTGTAGATTACAGTGACGGCTATGCATTGTTCATTCAGCAAAATTTCACTGAGGGCTTTAGTTAGCATAAGTATAATTTGCTTTTTATGCAATAGCTTAAGGATCTACGCTGATGTGAATGGTATATCTTTGGGTATTTGCATCAACAAAGCTTTGGCAAGGACCAAGTAAATAATGAAATTATGGTACGCTCGTACTACAGTAGCCGATTTAGTTGAAAGTGTAAAATTGGTTTAAAATGGTTTTGTGAAATTAGTCACCATGAAGTGTTTTAAAACAAGGTTTGGTTTTACTTTTCAATCCTAGTTTATGAAAAATGGGGCCAAAAGATCCAAGCAATTCTTAATTTATTATGTTAGAAAGTTTACTTATTAAAGTCAGCATGGATTTTACTCCCATCGTGCAAATATCATGTTTTCACTCGTTATTTTCGTATATTTTTATATGGTGGGCCTCAATGCCGTTTGATTGTATTCAAATTAACATAAGAACAACGCTGTTTGTTTGAAATTTCTAGAGAATATTTAACTCCTATTCCAGCTGACATAACTCTGGCTTTTGCTAAAAAAAACTTCGGCTTCTCCTAAAAAGTTTACATGACCGAATATTCAAGAAATTCGAAAGTAGAGAATATTTTCCTTCTAGTGGTACTGATATTGACTGGTTTTCCAAGTATTGTTACAACCAAATTTGCAACTTTTTCTTTAAAGTGTCTGTAACACGAAATTTTGCTAGTTAAATTATGTTTGCAATGAATAGAACTTTTGAAATGACATTGTACTTTCTAAAACAGTTAATGCATATCTCTTTCGCTTCGCAAGATATTGAAGTTTTTGTTATTTTCATTTTATCTAACTTGTGACGTCATATTGCATAATGAGTTCTAACGTGTGACGTCATATTGCATAATGAGTTCCCACAATGTTTTAAATACTCTACAGTTTCTTGACAACTTTATATCTTATACCAGGGGTGGGCAACTTCTCCAGTCAGCGGGTCAGATTTAGGAAAATGAAGTTATTGGTGGGCCGGATTATTACATGAATAATATTCAATATTCAATGGTCGGATACAGTCAGCGGGCCAGTCAAAATCCCTTCAGGGACCGGACCCGGCCCGCTGGCCGTATGTTGCCCACCCCTGTCTTATACCATTAGAGTAATAGTGTAAAATACTAAAAGTACTGTACAACAGTAGAGAGTAAAAAGTCAGCATATTCCACCAAATCAAACAACCATGTCGCAGACAATTTTAATAATCCCATGCACTAAAAGTAAAGTCCACCAACTCTTATTTGCTTCGAACTTTTAATGATACCCTGTTTTGCTTCACTATTTCTTGCTTATACACACAGAGACAAAAACTTTATTGAATGTCGAATTGTTTATGTTGGAGGTATAGATGGATGTCTGTTTTATGTAAATGTCTAAAGGCAATCTTCTCTGTCAACTCTGATTTTTAGCAATTTAGTAGATTTCAGTTTTACTTTGATTGTAAATAACCTCTTTGGCCTTTCTTCAAGGCTTATACGTAACTAAGGTCTACGTTAATTGACCCACAAAGGAATAATACTCAGAATAAGAAGCAGCTACGGTGATTACTAGAATGACAACTTTTAGAAGTTACAATGAAACGGCTTATTTCTATACAGCTTGGCGTTCGTTTGTAATTTGTCAACACTCGTTTCTCTTGGTTAGTTGAGCTGTTTGTAATCAAACTGGTCATCACAACTACATTAGGCTTTTTCAAATAAACGTGAATAAGCTTGACTGATGCAAAAATGTAGACAAGCTGCGACTTTAGTCGACCTCAAAACTATTTCCTTATTTGATTTCTTACTGATTCTTTGATTACTTCCTCATTCTTAAAAGACAGACGTTATCTTAGTTTATATTTTACATAGTGTAAAGATTGTGTTCGTTCTCTGTTGTTCATTCATCCCTACCTACACTGACACCATTCTTTTAGTTTATATTTTGGGTAGTGTAAAGATTTTTCTTGTTCTCTGTTGTTCATGCCAAGGCTTTCAAAACTTGTTAAAAACATTAATTTGCATAAAATATCTATATTTCTTGTATACGCGTCTGAAGTTTTTGATTACAAATCTCAAACATACATTCAAGCTTCAAGTATACTAAACAACTGAGATGTTCTATACATAAAGAGAACATTTAGTTTCTAACCTCCAACGATGGAATCGTGGAAAATTCATGGACACGAACATTACAATGATAATATTTCCAATACATATGCATTTATTTTGAGTATTATTTTGCATTTTACTTGATGTTTTTGTTCTCAGTGCTGAAGCATTTTTCATTAACGAAGCAAAACAAACGGTACTCGACATAATATGTATTAAGAAATCTTTATGTTATCAAAACAAATTCAATATAGCAAAGGCATTAAAGATATTTGAATTCAAGTCTCTAAAATGTTTGCTACCTTGTTCATCATCTTGTTGTGCATTTTCGCAAAAAGCATAAATGGATTAAGATAACGTAATGAGTTATGGGCAATGAATGCAATAAAATACTTGCAATAATTATAAATAAAGTTAACGTGCTCATTCATGGGCTGCCGCTATTTTATCTTGAAAAGTCTAGGCTGTTCTCATTCTTTGTTGTTCATTCATCACTACCTACACTGACACACGTTATCTTAGTATATATTTTACATAGTGTAAAAACTGTTCTCGTTCTCTGTTGTTCATTCATCTCTACCTACACTGACACACATTCTTTTAGTTTATATTTTAGGTAGTGTAAAGATTATTCTTGTTCTCTGTTGTTCATCCCAAGGCTTTCAAAACTTGTTAAAAATATTATTTTGCATAAATATCTTTATTTCTTGTATACGCGTCTGAAGTTCTTGATTACAAATCTCAAACATACATTCAACCTTCAAGTATACTAAACAACTGAGATGTTCTATACATAAAGAAAACATTTAGTTTCTAACCTCCAACGATGGAATCGTGGACACTTCGTGTATACGAACATTACAATGATAATATTTCCAATACATATGCATTTAATTTGAGTATTAATTTGCATTTTACTTGACTTTTTTGTTCTCAGTGCTGAAGCATTTTTCATTAATGTCGCGAAAGCCTAGTTGTAAGAGCTGCTAAAATAAACGTTTCTACGTCTTATAACGACTAAATATTGGAAAAGTATATAAGCGTGATATACTACACAACTTTTTTTAATCTTATCAACCGCCGACTGTTGTTTTTGTTTTAAAATTCCAGTGAACAAGTCTGCTATATTTTATTATAATACTATTATTTTATATTGTGTCATTCAGTGATACCAGCCAATGACGTCAGTAACGTATTCCGCCATAATTTAGCATAAAGCTTTTTTTCAAAAATGGCGGTAAGGATTCATCTTTCTGTCAAATTTTCTCGACAGCAAAATTTCAAAGAGACACGGTAACACAAAATTAAGTATTCCATAGCCATCTAGGATAAACGTATAAAAAAAAATTTCATTGCCATTCTCTTTTGAAATAAATTATCTGTGCAACTTTAAAGTTGCAATTCAAAATACATTTTAATCCAAAACTTTGAGCAATTTACAATATTCTGGTACATATTTCATTACACAGGAATAACCAGTTAATTACAAACGGTCCAACTCTAGAGTAGCCAGCTTTATTACTTGAGGGGGAGAGATATTCATATTTACTTGTTAGAAACCATAAAAACAATCCACAGAACTGGGACCAACCACAGAACGTACAACTATAGTATTTAATGTTCTAAATCACCCTAGTGGAACTCGCACAGTTTGCACAATGGAAGAAACGGAAAAATTATTACACACAACTTGCAAATTGAAATTCATGCACATTGCAAGTCCCAAACAACTAAAACACGTCAATATTATAATCCCAAGTCCCAACGTGTTAAGGCCTTTTTAAAGACAATTTGTTGTGCTCTAATCGACATTGTAAAAATTTCCTTCCTCATTCATTATTACCAACACTGACACATGTTAATATTTTAAGTAGTGTATAGACTGTTATCTCGTTTTCTGTTGTTCATGCATTACTACCAACACATGAAAATGTTATCTTAGTTTTTTATTTTAGATAATGTAAAAACAGTTCTTGTTCTCTGTCAATCATTGAACACTGCCACTATCAACACATCATTTTTAGGATTAAACTTTTCATCCAAAGCTCCAATTATACATATATTCAATTATACAATCTAATTTATAAATGAAATACACTATAATCCTCCTATAAGCATGTATTGGAACTTTTCAAACGCAAATACTTCCTGGAAATTTGTTTAATTTTAGTCGAAGGCATGCTGAAGCGGATGTTGAAGCTAAATGAGTTGTATACACAAACTATCTACTTGTAAATTACAGTTGTCATAGGAATTTTTAATTAAAAATCTTTAACAAACATTGAAGCTCAGACTTTAACAAATGAGATGGCCAATGAAAAAGGCAATATTCCTTGCCCATAGGGTTTTCTATACGTTTCGGGACCGACTTTTGCTGTGTCGATGTCATGCAAAGTCGTAAATTGACAACAACATCATTTGCACAAACACGAACCGGAGTAACTGTGTAAAAGTACACTTTATAGCACCTCTAAATGTATTTCACAAACCGAGCAACCATACCGCAAACAATCGTAAACAGCACTTTGTCGCTGCTCTAGTTTTCCATACATATTTTTCTCGGTCCTTCACTTCCGGCCTTCATTACATGTCGTGACGTGTAATCCAGCTTCATTTAAAATACATTCTAAAATAATCCTATACGTTGACGGTTGAGCAATTTATAATATTTTGGTAAATATACAATGACGCCGTAATAAACTGTTCGATTACGAATTGCTTAACTCAAAGGCTCGTTTACTGGGTAGCAAATATTCATATTTGCGTGT